TCAATGCTTCAGTTGTAGGTGGAGAATCTGTATCAAAAGTCCCATATTTTACACTTTAACTGTGTTTTATTTGAAGTTTTCATATCTATACCTCCTCACACTCACATCTCCTCTCTCAGGCGTCTCTCTGGAGCTCTAGCAACAACAGGTCGGTGAGCCAATCAGAGGAGAGGAGGCTCTGAGCCTCTCTTCTGATTGGCTGACTGTTTTCTGAGTGATCCAATGGAAATATAGCAGATTTCAGGTAAACACTAGGGGGGAAAATGAATTTCACAGCGATCCATCCAATAGAAGCTTGAGGCGTTGGAGGAAAAGTCGATAGGAATCGTCTCCTGGGGACCATGAATGTCTTTTTTGTGATAATCCATTGAATAGCTGTTGAGAAAAAGTGGTGGACGAACAGACCGGCATGTTTTTCCAGAAATAATTTCACTCTGGATAATCTGCAGAAAACACAAGAAACAAACACACTCTCCTGAGGAAATGTTCTGTGGATCCAGAGCAACATTCACAGTTTCTGAAAAGACATGTTGCTGTTTTGTTTTTGTTTTTTAAATTTCTGTGAAATTACTTATTAGCATGTGGTAAGAGTGTGACAACTTGGAAATCATGACCTGGGTCACCTCCCTCTTCACCTCCCAGCTGGTCTCTGTATCTGCCACCAACAGGCTCCACCTCCCGGCTAATCAGGATCAGCAGCCATGAATGAGACGCAGCGAGAGAGTCTGGAGAGCCCCGTCACTGACCCAGACATCACACTGTAACTGGGCCGCAAAGAAACACTCAACCGCGAGCAGGAGGCCGGGACCCCACGAGAACGGAAAGCAGGTGAAAGAATGTGGGAAAGATTTTTCAAATAAAGAAGAAGAAGAAGAAGAAGAAAGGGATTGACAGAGAAAAAGACAGGAGTAGAGAGAAATACTTCTTCCTCCAGCTTCTTCTGCACCATCCTGGTCAACCATCCTGTCCACTCTGGGCCTCACACCCTCCCAGACAACACAAGGACCAAAGGGGCCGAGTGAGGAAGAAGAGGGGACCTCACAACATGTGTTGAGAGGTAAGTGGGGCAGGTGAACGTGGGTCAAGGCGCAGGGCTTAGCCTGCTACCAGGCCACAGTGCTGCTGCGCTGCTGTAGCTTTAGGCCAAAGCCTCTTACTGCTCACTTCGTCCTGTGCCAGCACTTAAAGGAGCCATTATGTTCCCTTCAAGGAAATACAGTTGGCTCTAGTGTGTGTGTGTGTTTGTTGTATAAATCTGAATTTATTTATTTTTTTTACTTCCAATTTAGATTCCATTAGAGATTATGTCTTGTCAGATAAGACAACAGTCTCTGTGATAAGAATGGATTCAGTGCAGAGGACTGAGAGGAACATAATTCCTGCTTTAAAAGTTGTTTGAAGGAACTAATAAATGTAAGATTAAGTCAAGGTAGCTTGACCAAAACATCTTAACTGATTAAATCAACGATTAATCTGCTGATTGTTTTTTAAAATGATTTTTTATTAATGCTACAGACCATGAAATGGTCAAAAAAAGACTGGACAGAGCCCAAGGCAACGTCTGCAAATGTCTTGTTTTGTTCTCACAAAACTTAAAGATATTCATTTCACAGAGAATTATAACTCCTCAGGGCCGCCCAAACTCGAGGGCCACGCAACTGCTTTTTACTGAGCTTTGCACCGCAGCTTCATGACCATAAGTTTCAGCTGAAAGCTCCATTAAAAACGCTAGAAAATGGACCTCAAGGAAGGATTTTCCGACGGGGGTTAAACTGCTGTTTCCAAGCTTAAGAATAAACTTTTACATTCATAATGAAAATACTTGGCACACACAGTTTAACAGCCACTACAATCAGGATGTGTTCTTAAAGTGTTTTTACATCAGGAATACTGACCATATAAAGAAGCTAAAACGTGTTGAGACGCACGTCTTGGTTTGAGCCTCACTGCTGCAGCTGAGCTCAGAAAAATTGGAAGAATTAGCTTTAAACAAAGAACTGGTTCAGTGATAATTCAACTTCATTCTGCTTCACTCCACCCAGTGAAATGTTGATTTTCTGTTTCTGCCTGCACAGAGAACTGAACCGTTTGTTGACTGCTGTTATTTCCTCACATTAAACCTCACTCCGAGCTTCGTTAAAGGAAGTTTGACGTTTGGAAAATGCACTTACTGACTCTCTTGTCAAAGGGTTAGATGAGAAGGTTGATATCACTCTGACTGTTAAAGATGAAGCTACAGCTAGGAGACATTTAGCTTAGCATAGCATGAAGACACTGCAAACAGGGGGAACGCTAGTTTGTCTTTCTTCAAACTGCCTCATGGGGTGAAAAGTAAAATATTTGTCACTGAAATTTAAAGTAGAGGTGCATTAAATAGAAATACTGAAAACATTTTAATTTATTTTGCTACTTTCCACCACTAAACTCTGCGTTAAGAGTGTGAATATTATAAATGAACACACGTCTGTGTTTTGTTTTTTGCAGATACTAAACCACAGAGCTCGTGAAGACATGGAAGCATGGCTCTGAATCTGAATCCCTGCCATGTGAGTCAGAACTGATGCATGTACAGTACACGTACTTGTTACAGGAGCATTATAGGCCTCACACGCAGATTAGCAGCTGAGGCTTTAGAAAGATTGCTGTTGGCCTTTACATGAAAATCTCTGACCAGGTTGACTCAGGGTTTCTCAAGCTGAGATGACAGAGAGCTGAGTTTTTGTTTTAACTCTGGGGTCTAATAAAGCTTCTTCCTGATGGTGTATTTTGAATATTCTGACTTTGTGTGACGGATATGAATCAGTTTTGACTGTGTGGTGCTTTTAGCTCTTGAAGAAAGTTGTCGTAGTCACGGTAGAAAGACAGATATACCTGTGATGCTACTTTCCATCCGTGCTAAACTAAAATCTGATTTAGCATACATGTAATTATAAAACTTTGGGAAAAGGGTCTTGGGAAATTACAATATGGTAATAAAATCATCCAATATGAGCTGATCATAGAAGTAAGAAACTAACAGTCTGACTGAGGTGAGATTTTCCTACATTATGTGAAGGTTTCTCATCTTTTTCTGGCCACATTAGGAGCGATGAAGGTCAGTTAACCACCGTGGGTTCAGACTAACATACATGTATCTCAACAGCTGTTTGTGACTAAATACCTCACATTCCCATCAGCCTCCTGCCAAACTCACAGAGCTGCTGCAGACACACAGTCATGTCAGATTCAAGAAGTGTTGTCTAACCACTAGAGCTGTGCACAGGCCTAAGACTGAGGGACCATACGCTGGTGCTGTCAGACACCTGAGGCTGTACAGTATTTGTCTCATTTCCAAACTGATGCCAGAGAAACAATAACAGATACCAATGTATTGACCTGTGTTTGCGTCTCATGTGAGGGTTGAGACCCTTAACGGTTGAGAAATTACATTTTATCCTCAACAAGGGATTAAACAGCAGTGTGTTAAGTTTTACAATCTGTTGTTTCAGCGCAACTTCGACACAAAGCGTTGTATTATTTCATCAGGCGGTCGGTTACTATCACAGCTTCTGTGGCAACTCCGTTCACCTCACAGGTGCCAGACGTTCAGACTTGCGTGGTCAAGGTTTGAATTCTTTACAGCAGGTTTGTGTTTGTACGGCCACACGGTGGCTTTCAGTACAGACCTATAGGTCTGTGTTTGGGACAGTTGCCAGATTGGCACCCTGCGGTTCTGGATAAGAGGCTCTGTCTTGGAGTAAGCTGAACATATGAGGGACCAGAGACGAGCTGCATATGGATGAACTTGGCTGGAAATCAACTGCAGATGCTGTAAATCTGCGCTGCTGCTCCCCCAAAAGGTTTCCTGCCCCTATGTAAAATCTGTCTTTAATACAGAGTCTTTTTGATTACTGTGTGTTAAGCTACTTATTGCACCACTAATGGATCATTAATACATTTAGCCGACCACCCAACCCCACCCCCCTTTATCTCCATCACTCATACAGTCTGGGCTGAGTCTGCTATTTATTTTACCAGCGTTTATATTCCCTAAAATAAATCTATTTGATTTAATTACATCTAATTAGCAGTCGTCATACTAGAAGGATTTACTAGGGTAGCTTTTACACTTTCAACCCCTCAGTACACAACAACTGCAAAATGTGACCATGTAAAGATTCAAAGTTCCTCTTTCTTTGCTGACTGTAGTTACCCTGAAACAAAAAGACTATCGTCCTCTATAATGTAGCACGTCACTGTCGTTGTGAATGAGGGTAACAAAAGGAAAGACGGGGGGGGGAGAAAATGATTCAGCTGTCATAACTGTAACAACTATGCCATGTACTTAAGCGTTGGGATTAGCCCCAGGAATCCAAGTAAGCCTTTGACAGCCTCCAGCGGACCTTTTAACCCCCCACCCCCCCCCTCAACCCCTCCTTTCTCCCCCTGGTCTCCCATGTCTCTGCTCTGACCCTGCTGTGTGCAGTGTTTGAATGAACACGTTCTTTTGGGCACAAATTGGCCTGTTAGCCAACACTTTATCTGAGACACTGAGTTGTTAGAATAAAGACGGTAAACAAATGACAGTACGTCTCTAATCGGTGCTTTTACAACTGTGTAATTTGAAAAGCAGCTGCTCTTCAGAGCTTTTACAATTCACAGAAAATTATGACAATTTTGGCTTGAAAATTTGACAAATAATGAATCCTTGACAAATCAATTAATTGACAATGTATTTCATCTTGAGTTTTGAGGGGCATTAGCTGAATAGAGAAAAGCATTTCTCAATCTTCTTCGTATCTTTAACAGTCTGAGCACGTTACAGTACGCTGGGTGCTGCACAGTTGAAGACAAAGCCTTGTTTTCAGTGTCTGTACACCAGATTAGTTTTTCAGTTTATGTATAATTCAGTCTGAAGAAGTCGTTTGTTCTCTCAGTTGTGTGATGTCTGTAACTTGTCGTCTCTGCAGAGGCCACACTTGGTGACTTCTGATGTCCTGGAATCAACCCGAGGCTGAACCATGGTCATTCTGCAGCAGGTAGGTTCATGTCGGGTGGAAAAGGCTCCAGCAGCTCAGCAGCTCGTCTCATCTGATTCTTTTTAATCTCAGGTTTTCACCAGGCCCCGCTCTCATTCATGAAGCTGACTCTGATTTCAAACAAATCCAGGTTTCTCATTTGTAGCGGTCTATCATGGAGTCTGGTCTGAAATGACTGTATCAGCTGTAGCTAGATAGCGTAGAGCTAATGCTAACACTAAAACTGTGCTGTGCTGTTTCCTGCTGACTTTTTAATGTTTCTTGATGATACATTTTAAAATGGAAAGCCTGTTGAAGGGTGGTAAATCTGCATGAGATGACTACATACACGCAGTAATGCTAAAACACTGAGGAGGCAAAAAGTCAGTTTCCTCTCCAGTTCATAATCCATAGAAGACATGATGGAAATAACGAAGCAGCAGATCTTCTCTTGCACTTTACAGCTACTTAGCCCTAATTTTAAGTTTGTGCTCTAATGATCCTATCATCAAACAGTCTGTTTCACAAGTAAAAATGATTTAAGGATGAGGAATAACCAATGAGTTTGACAAACGCAACGTATTTAATGCGAACTTGTTGCAACAATTTGAGAGTTTAGGGCTTCTGGGTAATGGCTGTTGAAGGAGGGCAGAAGGTTACTCATTATATTTTCCCTCCAGATTCTCCTCACAGTTTTGTCTTTAGGTTGACGAAGTCATTACGTCGCCCGTGTAGGTGACACTGTGCATAAAAAAGTCTGCTTAAAACCCAGATAAGCAGAAGGCAATTATAATATCATTACAAGATAAGATGGAACTTGATAAATACTTGAGATTATCGCAACAGCAAAATCAGATGCAGCAAAATAAAAAGGGAAAGGAATTAAGAATATAGGGAAAAGGAGGGTGTTAAAGGGTCAGTTCACCCAAACTAAGGAACGCACTTTCTCCCTGATCCATTGTGGTAAGTTTTGGAGGGATGGTCCTATGATTTAAGATTTCCTGAGGAATTGAAATAAAGTGCAAATATAACAAAAATTATATTTAATGGCATAAAATAAACTGTGTGAAAACTTAAAAAGTTTCAGTAGAAGAGTGTAAAAAAAAATAAGGATTTGTGCATCGTCATTTCACATCTCAGAATCACGGCCATGTCCCAGCTCTCTAAATATAGCAGAAGCCGGCTCGTCTCCACACTCAGTCGGCCGTGGTTACCTCCTATCAGGCCATCAATAGTTTCTTGTCAATAACTAGATCCCGGTGCCTCAGAGTCCTGCGGGGCGCGACTCAGACACACTGGACTGTTTCAATCTGGGCTCAGAGCCTCGGCTATGAATCTCGCTCAGCGGGAGACATCTGGATGTTGTTAAATGGAGGCAGGAATAGCATCGTTAAGGTCACGGTCTAGACTGTAGGGGTGAACGCTGAGCCCCCGTGCTGCAGTGTTTTTTTCTGTTATGGAGAGATTTACCGGCAGCTTCTGTTCTGCTTCGCATCCGAACAAAACTGCGGACAGTCGAAATGTGCAGGGATTTTTAGAAAGTGGCGTCTATAAGTTTGCGCCTGTGATTCCTGACGTTGTTTCATTAACGAACAAAAGACTAACGAGTGAATCATTTCACCATCTTCAAGGTTTTTAACCGTTTTTATATTGAGATCTTAATTTAAGCCGAGATCAAATTCTTTTTCAGGAGCATTTTCACCTCATTTAAAACTAGAACATGTTCAGACATTCACAACTTGAATTGAATAAAATTTGGTTGCAGGTGGCATATGTTTTATTTTATTTAAATATCTTAACAGTTATTGGATGGACTGTCATGAAATGTGTTGAGGATGTTCATGTTTCCCACAGGATCAATTGTAGTAACTTTCCCTGAGTTTTTCTCTGGCTCCACAAGAAGAAGTGAAGTTGAAGTTTTAACTTATCCACTGAAATATATCTCGACATCTACTAGATGGTCCTCTTACTTTTCCTTTTAGCGCCACCATTAGCATTTAGCTCAAAGCACAGAGTCGCTAGCTTGTGCTTGTGCTAACCCGACTGTTGTACGATTGCGGGCAACTTAATAAGTGTTGTAGCCAAAGTGGAGTCAGACTATAGTAGTTGAGTAAATTCAGTATAACATGATCACAGGATATAATTACAGCAGTGTTTCTGATGACCTTGCCACTAACGGTGGTAGAGTGATGATATCCACAACCACTGAATTAAAGTTTCAATTTTACTTTCAGGTTTAAATATAATATCCAATAACATCTGAAGCTGTTCCACTCCATGTGAATTTGTTCCTTTTGAAATCAAAAGGTTTAAATTCATCTATCCAATAAACCCGTGTTTTAAATTAAACTGTTTGGTACAAATCCAGTCTTTACTGAAATCAGTGGCAGTGTAATTCAGCTTTTTTTTGTGTGTGTGTGTGTTATTGAGGTGTTCATTTTTATTGGCACAAGCAGAGAGATTTGTTCTTTTCGTGTTGAGAAATATGTGTTTAAGTACTTCAAGTTTTTTCAAGGGGACGTAATCTGTGACTTATCGGTAAAACCACTGCGACAGTATCAACACCCCGCAGGCAAGGATTCCAGCTAAATGACACTTAAAAGATAAAATCAGGATTTCAGCTGCACCCCACTAAAAATGAAACCACCCCCAGTCTTACATCCCAGCCCAAACAACATTAAGCTTTAAGGTCAGGAGTTACATCATCCCCTGTGTGGGCTGAGAGTGGTCTGTTTTAAGCCTTTTTCAGACTAAATCCACACAGAGAGTTGGCAGCTGAAAAAGTGTGAAAAGGGAAAACAACTCCTGGTCTGTGATGTAACTGTAACATTTCCTCTTTATTCAACATACATAAGAAACTAATCACAGGCACGAATCAATAAGATTGTAGGAGAGCATATAAAAAGGATAAAAGTAACATAGAACAACCAGCTCCTACCAACTTTTCCACTTCCCTTTTTCTTTTTAATGTTTAGTAAAGGTTTGATTGTCCTGAGTGCAAATTTATTTTCCTCTTTTAATGTTATTTTATGATCCATATTTAACCACAGCTGTGTTTTATGACCCAGGGGGACTATGTGTGGTTGGACCTTAAAACGGGCCGAGAGTTTGACGTCCCTGTGGGAGCCGTGGTCAAACTCTGCGACTCCGGACAGATCCACGTCCTGGACGATGAAGGCCGGGTGAGTCCACAGCAGAGCAGGAAGTAAACGTGTGCTGTTATTGTCTATGCACGCTAAGTATAACCCTGTAGATACTGTCCAGTGTATCATTAGATGAAATCAGGTGTTGTTTGGATCGACTGTTGTATACTTCACTAGACTTACCGCCAACCAGTCAAGTCGCAGGAAATACGGTCACAGTCTCTTGTCCCTGAGTTACAGCGTTGAATAATGACCAGAAGTGTTTTTGCAGAACATTATGATGTCACAGTGAAGTTGACCTTTGAACTTTTGCATATAAAACGCCATCACTTCATCATTTTATCCTTTTAAACATTTCCTGGTAAATTCCGTCATTGTTAGCGCATGAATTCTTGAGTTGTGGCCAAAAACCTATTTTGTGAGGTCACAGTGACCTTGACCTTTGACCTCTGGCCACCAAAATCTAATGAAGTCATCACTGAGTGTAAGTGAATGTTTGTGAAGAGGTTCATGAGAATGGGACGGACAGCCGGCCGGCGCCGAGGCGTAATAGTGGATATTATGATTAATTGATAAATCAGGGAAGAGTCACAGTGGTGGTCTGTGTGAAGCCTTTAAACTTAATTATAAGCAAAATCAATCAAATTTAAAATGCACATCTCATCTACTTACTTTAATAACTGCTTCTTTTTCAACCGGTTTATTTCAACTTATTTCTGTAGTTTTGACCGTTACCTCCATCAATAATAATTACATTGCACTTAGTAAGTTAAGTGAGGTCACTGATAAACGTGGGAGTCATTCGTGATATTGTGACTGAGCGTACGGCCTTTAAGAAACGTCTGACAGCAGTGAGGGATAATTACCATCGTGTCAGGCATGCGTTGTGTTTCCCGCCTCGATAAATGAGCAACGAGTGCGACGTTCTCACAGTTGATGGAAGAAACTACCAAAACAAGACCCAAGTTGTAACGAAGCTTCCAGGTCCCTGTCCCTCTGACTTACTCCCCCTCTCCCCCTCTCACACAGGAACACTGGATCTCCCCCCAGAATGCCACCAACATCAAGCCCATGCACCCGACCTCCATCCACGGGGTGGAGGACATGATCCGTCTGGGCGACCTCAACGAAGCCGGCATCCTCCGCAACCTGCTCATCCGCTACAACGAATGCGTCATCTACGTGAGTGTCCCCCTGGAAACGGCCCTGCAGCTCTGTCTCTGCAGAGCGCGCAAATGTGTACAGTCACCTACAGTGTGACGGGGTGAAGAGGAGTAACTAGTCACCTCAATTCACCCAATTAAGTTCTTACTCAGGTTAAGCTGTTTACTTGTGCCTTCGATGCCTGCAGCAGAGTTTACTTGTTACTATAAATAAAGCCGAATGTCCTCAGCTCACTCTGTGACTGAGAACTAGAGGTTCATTTTATAAAAGGGACAGAAACAGATTTGCTCATATCGTATTTATCTCACGATTAGAGCTGTGACAATTAAGTGATTATTCCATCAACTCGATCTTTAGGTTTTCAACTGTTTGTCAGACAAAAGGAGACAATTTGCCAACATTTTACAGATCAAACGATTCATTAGTTAATTGAGGGAATAATCAGCAGATATCTGATGGTGACAGTAATCATTAGCTGCTCATTATTGTGACTTGCTGTTTTATAATTACGAGATAAAAGGCGGGACATCTTATTATGTGACCTCTGAAATGAGGAAGTTTTTGTTACATTGACACTGCAAACACGTTATTTCTTCAACATTGTTCGTCATGTAAAAGTCGCAAAGCGACATTTTGAAAGTCGAGATTTTCCGTCTCTAAAATAAAAGACAGTAAATGAAAGTCTGAAACATCCGCTCTTCTGTTGCCCGGTTCTTTGCAGACGTACACAGGCTCGATCCTGGTTGCAGTCAATCCGTACCAGCTGCTGCCCATCTACACTCCAGACCAGATCCGCCTCTACACCAACAAGAAGATCGGCGAGATGCCGCCGCACATATTCGCCATAGCAGACAACTGCTACTTCAACATGCAGCGGAACAACAAGGACCAGTGCTGCATCATCAGGTATGTGCGTTGTATGTGAGTGCATGGGCTCCTTGATCTCATCTGGTCGCTTATGACAAAAACCTACTAAATGAAAACCTGTAAATGTGGAAAATATGTGGAAAAAAATGTGGAAAAAATAACAGTTGTCTCCGTGTGACAGCGGTGAGTCTGGAGCCGGGAAGACAGAAAGCACAAAGCTGATTCTGCAGTTCCTCGCAGCCATCAGCGGCCAACACTCCTGGATAGAGCAGCAAGTCCTGGAGGCCACGCCGATCCTCGAAGGTCAGACAAATCCAATCCACGTTTGTTAAATCAGTCATCTGTACAGTCTTTGTATTCCGCCTCTGTGCTTTGTTCCATCGCCTCACTCTCTGATTTGTGTAAATCCATTCAGCCTTTGGCAACGCCAAGACGATCCGTAACGACAACTCCAGCCGCTTTGGCAAATACATCGATATCCACTTCAACAAGCGAGGGGCCATCGAAGGAGCCAAGATAGAGCAGTACCTGCTGGAGAAGTCGCGAGTGTGTCGACAGGTGAGACATCAGATCATAGTTTACACCACTCTGCCTGAATTAAACACTTTCATACTTTCAGGTCTTTTTGAATCTGGTGCCAATCAATACTTGTCTGGAGTCTATGAACATTTTAGTTTCTTCTTCTCCTTTTTCCTCCTCCAGGCTCCAGATGAGAGGAACTACCATGTTTTCTACTGCGTGCTGAAGGGGATGCCTCCAGAGATGAAAGCTAAGCTGGGCCTGGGCCTCGCCACAGACTACGCCTACCTCACCATGGTGAGTGTACGGCTGTGAGAGAGACCGTTCATGCTGTATTCATACTTATCGTCAACACGTTGTCTTGTTTGCGTTGGCATCCAAACGAGGCTCCCAACAACCGGCTTTAATAACCTAAAGTTTAACCCTGCAGGGTAACTGTACGGAGTGCGATGGCCGAGACGACCTGAATGATTACTCCAGCATCCTGTCGGCCATGAAGGTTCTCATGTTCACCGAGACCGAGAACTGGGAGATTTCCAAGCTGCTGGCCGCCATCCTGCACATGGGAAACCTGCGATTCGAGGGTATGTCACTCTGCACGCACACTTCAGTCAGAAGCTTCAGTTTCTAATATCTAATCTAATCTTCTAATCCCATATTTTTCTGAGCCGTGAGGAAAAACGATTCTCTTTCTGGTGTCCTCAGCTCGGACGTATGACAACCTGGACGCCTGTGTGGTTGTCAGATCTCCTGACCTGGTGACTGCTGCTTCACTCATGGAGGTGTGTGTTCATATGAGTGTGTACTACAAGTGTTTGCACTGGGGTTGTGCGATCTCATCCATAGTCAGATCGTCCTATCATCAAACCAGAGAGCGAGCCTGTGGAGTTAAAAATAACTATCATCACAAATAAATCATTAATTATTTACATTTTGATAATCAGTGCATTCACAATAATCCCTCAAAGTCAGCAGGAGCAGGAGTGAACTAACAGCTGTTTATGGCTTAATAAACAGCTGTTAATTAAACTTAATATGAATTAAATACTACAAATAATGATAATAATAATAACTTAATACATAAATGGAAAAACAAACCAAATGTCGTCTTGAAAAGATTGAAGCTTCTTTACATTGAAGTCAAAGTTGAACTTTATTCGTTCCATCACTGTTTAACACTAAAGCTGCTTGTTGTTTTCTGCAGGTGGAGCCGAAGGACGTGATGGTGTGTTTGACCACACGGACCCTGATCACTCGAGGTGAAAGTGTCGTCACGCCTCTCAGTGTGGGGCAGGGCCTGGACGTCAGGGATGCGTTTGTCAAGGTGCTGATCTGTGACTGCGTTAAAGCCCCTGAAAACTTGTCTCCTAATCATCACTAGCCAAAAATAAGCAGCTCAGCATTAAAAATTTAAGTACAAAAGGTTGAGAACGTCGAATGGTAAAAGCTGAAAAGATGAGTCAGAGCAGAGATTTACAGAAATCTTACTGGTCCCTGAAGGGGGCCTGTGAGGGATGAAAATGTTAGTAAATGTAAAAGATGGAAGGTTTGTTTTTATATTGACTTTTCTCCTCCAGGGGATCTACGGCAGGCTGTTTGTCTGGATTGTGGATAAGATTAATGCTGCCATATTCAGACCGCCGTCCTGCGAGAGTAACATCATACGCAGGTCGATCGGGCTGCTGGACATCTTTGGCTTCGAGAACTTCATCGTCAACAGGTCGTTCATACTTTGTGGTTTTCGTAGCTCCAGTTTTCATTTTCAAACTGCGTTATGTTTCTGTTCATTTAATACTCTCACACCTTCTTCTTCTCACTTTTCCCGCGCAGCTTTGAGCAGCTGTGCATCAACTTCGCCAACGAGAACCTGCAGCAGTTCTTCGTTCGCCACGTCTTCAAACTGGAGCAGGAGGAGTACAACCTGGAGGACATCAGCTGGCAGCACATCGAGTTCACGGACAACCAGGACGCGCTGGACATGATCGCCAACAAACCCATGAACATCATCTCCCTCATCGACGAGGAGAGCAAGTTCCCCAAGGTACAATCGCATTAGAAGGTGTAACTTTGAAGACCACTGGTATATGCTCTATAACATTCCTGGTTCTTTGTCGTTGCCTCAGGGAACTGATGCGACGATGCTCTACAAGCTCAACTCACAGCACAAGCTCAACTCCAACTACATCCCCCCTAAAAACTGCTATGAAACCCAGTTCGGGATCCAACACTTTGCTGGTGTGGTGCATTACGAGACCAGAGGTGCGTTCGGTTTCATCGCTCTCATTCATTTTGCCGCGTGTTTTCATGCTTTTATCCTCGTTCTCTCACTCATCTCTTGTTTATGATGGTTATACAGCAGCTTCCTGTAGTTGCTCTCAGCAGCTTTGTGAACACCTCTGGTGCTAGAACTGAAATAACAATAATAATAAATATCCAGACTAAATATATCAACATACGGGCGTGAAATCACTCTCACAGTTTCTCTCTCGTCCTTCCTCCAGGATTCCTGGAGAAAAACCGGGACAGCCTCCACACCGACATCATCCAGCTCGTCCACTCGTCCAAGAACAAGTTCATCAAGCAAATCTTCCAGGCTGACGTGGCCATGGTGAGAGCCAAAGGATTTTACCACACACCAATACTTGTAATGGTGGACTAATATTTTTCACCTCCTTTTTTTGTCGCTGTTGTCTTTCAGGAGATAATGTCATTGGTGACTTTTGCCTCCCTTTAGCTTTTCTCCTCACAGCACTGGCTTTTTACTAATGGCACACCCCTCCTCTCATTCTGCTGTCTCTTCTCTGTGTCCTCCGTCTTTTCCTCTGACATCAGTTTCTGTGTGGCTATCAGCAGCCCAGCACCCCTGCTCCCAAGGTAATCAACGGCCTCTAGCGACATGCGCTCACTCAAACCCTGTGTGTGTGTGTGTGTGTGTGTGTTTAAACTGAATAAAAACCCAAGAATCCACACATTCACGCCTCCATCGAGCAGCATCCCTCTCTCCTTTTAAGCTCTTCTCTTTTATTCCACAGGTGTGAACTTTGTCGTAGCAGAAACAAAAAAGGAAAACTGTTGATTTGAGGGAATTTATAGAGAAGTTTATGAACATTAATGAGCAAACTCTCTGACACCTGATTCTCTCTCACCAGGTTTAATATGTAAAGGCAAAAAAGTCTAGTGTGGTTCGAGGGAGTTGAACCTCTCAGAGGCGTTTGAGGCTTTTGAAACAGGAAGTTATATTTTGGCGTTACTGAAACAACTGCAGCGAAGAGAGGTGTCAGAGATTTTGTGTTGTTTCCTGTTATATTTGTAGTAGCAGTAGTAATGTGTTTGCACCCTGTGTTTGCGTTGTGTAACTTATGCTTGTGTCAAAAGTAGTTATTAATCACCGCTGTGTGGAAACACGACGTTTATCTGGACAAAACTGAAAACCTGATTGTTTGATAGTTGAGATTGTTCACACAGAAACATGGAAAGCAATAATCTTATAATAAGCAATCATTAGATATAATGATAGAAAATATATAAATGTTTAGCTTTAAGACGCTGTGAAATTATGATCAAATCATAAAAATCTATATTGAGTTAAAGTCAGTAGAAACACAGTGGAGCTCTATGACACAGACCAATGAGCTAAGCAGGCTTAAACTTTTTCTTTCTTTCAATAAAATGTAGATAATCACCAATCATGTCCTTTAAAAGGTTTTTTCTCAGACGTAATCAGAAACCGAAAGGAATGTGCGGGTAGGTCACTGTCACAGATCACACTTTAGCAATACTGCTATGACTAAATAAATTTGGAAATTAAAATGACGTGGAGTAGGAACGATTATCATTTAATTTTCTGCATTTGCACAAAATATATATTTATTAATATATATTTTCTGGCATTTTACAGACCAAACTTTTAAACAACGGTAAAAAAAAATTAAAAACAGTCAAATATAAAGTCATAAAGACACATTTTCAGTCGTGTGACCCAAAATATTCATGAATACACAGCATGCCATGCAACATGAGTGAATCTGTGTGTGTGTGTGTGTGTGTGTGTGTGTGTGTGTGTGTGTGTGTGTGTGTGTGTGTGCGTGCAGGGTGCTGAGACGAGGAAGCGCTCTCCCACTCTGAGCAGTCAGTTCAAACGCTCCCTGGAGATGCTGATGAGGACTCTCAGCGTGTGTCAGCCGTTCTTCGTTCGCTGTGTAAAACCCAACGAGTTCAAAAGACCCATGGTGAGTGAAATTTGTGTGTGTGTGTTGGAATTAATTCAAAACCTTATCGCAGTTTTCTTTGTCCCAGTGTCATACACCTGTCATATACCTTCCTAAAATAACCGGCGACATTGAGCTGCTGCAGTAAAATGTCTCGGTCCTCTTACGCAGGTTGTGCTGGTTGGTTTCCTTTGACTTCTAGATTTAAAGTTACATGATTTGTTTTTGTTTTGTTTTTCTTGTGTTTTCTCTCAGTTATTTGACAGAGAGCTGTGCATTCGTCAGCTGCGCTACTCCGGCATGATGGAGACCATCCGGATCAGGCGGGCCGGTTATCCCATCAGATACACCTTTGCTGAGTTTGTGGACCGTTACCGAGTCCTCATGCCTGGCGTCAAACCTGCTCACAAACAGGTCAGCAACATAAAACCACTGACACCTGTCACACACCTGTCTCTGCTGCCTCCTTCAGTCCTGGTTAGTCCCGTTTGAATGAGGCGCCAGTGTCATTAATAAAGGATCAGTTCACTCAGACGACGACTACTACTTCTACTATAAAGAATTAGCTCCAGCAAAAAGAAGAGAATATGTTTCTGTAATATATAAAATAAGTATCATACAAAATTAAGAGTCTGGGAGTCGTCACCTTGACGAAGTTCTCTCTCCCTCCAGGAGGACCTACGAGGGACCTGCCAGCAGATCGTCCAGGCCCGGCTGGGGAAACATGACGACTGGCAGATCGGGAAGACCAAGATTTTCCTGAAGGTTGTGCATCATTTATACTGACATTAAAAAAAAAGTAGATTTAATGAGGTTCCAGTTTAATTAATTTCTTTGGCCGCTGTGTGTTTTCATCAGGACCACCACGACATGCAGCTGGAGATCGAGAGAGACAAGGCCATCACTGACAAGGTCATCCTCATCCAGAAGGCTGTGCGCGGACTTAAAGAGAGGTCAGGAACTTATCGGACAGAGCTGTAGATCTACATGCAGAATACAGAGCCCCTGAAGTCCTGAAGGATCACATTATTTTATTATCTCGTACACGTTGTTGTTTTTCTTTTAAATAAGAGTGTGTTTGATGAATGAAACCTCCATGTTCCTTTTCCTGTTCAGCTCTAAAGGAAGGATTCAGGAAGCGGTTCTTTTCGGTCCCGGTGTCAGATCTAATTTCTGTCTCCTCTGTCGTCACTCTTCTTCAGGACTAACTTTCTCAGAGTGAAGAGAGCTGTGATTTTTATCCAAAAGGTCTGGAGGGGTTATCGGTGCAGGAAGGATTACCAAATTGTGAGTCCTTTACACCGTCAGTGTGAAGATTTGTAGTTTTCCCTAAAGCTCACTGTTTATTTGCTATGAGCTGCGTAAGTCACGTGTCACCATGTCATTGCTGCAGCTTCCCGACAACACTGCACCTTTATTTTTTTTTCCTCTCCTCCAGATGCAGTCGGGCTTCCTGCGCCTCCAGGCCGTCTACAGGTCGAGGAAGCACTACAGAAGCTACCGGATGACTCGCCTCCGCGTGACTCTCATCCAAGCCCGTTGCCGTGGTTTCCTGATCCGGCAGACATTCTGGCGGCGTCTGCGTGCCGTGTTGACCATCCAGGCCTACACCAGGGGCATGATAGCCAGACGCCTCTGCCAGAGGCTCAGGGCAGAGGTAAAGAGTTACTATATTTACTACTGCTACTTGAATCATGTTGATGACGAGCCAGACAGAGAGGGACACTCGTGTTGAGGGCGGACGTCACACATTTTATTATTTACTTGGTTGAAAGAAACTGTGAAGCCTTATTACGTTTGTTCATGTAATGCCGTGATTAGATACTGTTGGAGGTTTTTCTCACACAAACACCAACAACTTGCTGGATAATGTGTCAGCAGTATTTAGCTGATTTTAAGGGATTCATTTTGGGAGACACTCTTGTTAATATGAAGCTACAGCTAGCAGCTGGTTAGCTTAGCTTAGCACAAAGACTGGAAACGGGGAAACAGCTAGCCTTTGTTAAAAAAGCACCTCTGAAACAACCTAATTAACTCATAATATCTAGTTTGTTTAATATGTACAAGTTGTGATTTTCTTACCTTTGGAAAGAGGCTAGCTGTTTCCCTCCATTTTCTTTATGCTAAGCTAAGCTAAAAAAGCTAAAATAAATAGATTATTTTCAGATTATTTTCTGATTATATTTTCAAATAGACATACCAAGAGTAAAAGGTGCTGGAATCCGAATCCAATCAATAACTAAAGTTTATTTCCTTTTCTGAACATGTTGCCAATGACAAGAGTATTGGGCAATTGCAGAATATAAAGTTTTAATTATTTTTCAAATTATTTTCAAAGTGATTGTTTCATTTGTATATTTTAAATAATTTATTCCTGTTCAAATATCTTTCATAATTACTTATTTATTTTTATTTATTCATTTTGTATTGAACAATGGCCTAAAACATGTCACCGTAAAAACCTTCTTTTTTACCGTCTTTTTAAATGAGTTTGTTTGAACATGATTTCATGTCTTTGTGTTGCATCATAGAAATGTTTGTGAGCTTTTTAACGATGTTTGTGTTTTTAGTAAACAAAAAGAAAAATGCAGTTTTTTTTTTTCTGCCATTGTTGCACATTTCCTAAATAAATCATTTGTTTTGTAAATGTTTGTTTAATCTCAGTTTGTTATTAAATTGATTTTAGAAATTTAAAAAGCAGCTTTTGGAGAAATGTCAGATAATATTCCTGAGCAGGTTCCAGCGACCCGACGATGAAGACGTCAAGTGGATGAACTGCAGCTGGACGTCGAGTGCGGACCAGAGGCGGCTGCTGTTACATGTTGTCATGTTGTGTATATATTTGTGTTATGACATTGACCTCCACACTGCTTTTTTATTATATTATACTAAGTTTAGATTTATTCTGCTGTAGCATTTACCATAAGCCCTTATTAACAGGTAAACGTACTTTATATTGTGTTCAGCTTTGACTAATGGTGTCTAGTCATGTAATTCTTAGAATAATGTCTTTTTGTTTAAACCTGTGATGTTTCCCCTCAGTTCCTCAGTTCTAGTTTTAAACAGACAAGAATTAAAGAACAGAAGAAGTAAAATATTACTCGGCTCAACACCCTACCTGCCTCTGTGAACCCTGGTCTGTTTCCTCCCCTCACAGCTGCAGCGTCGCCTGGAAGCCGAGCGCCAGCGCCTGGCGGAGGAGGAGCAGCTGCGAAACCAGATGACGGCTCGGCGGGCCAAGGCGGAGGCCGAGAGGAAACACCAGCAGCGGCTCGTACAACTGGCCCAGCAGCAGGAGGAGAGGGAGCGGGAGGAGAGGGAGGAGGCGAGGAGGAAGAAGGAGATGCTGGAGCAGATGGAAAGGGAGAAGGAGCAGCCCGTCGATCACTCTGACATGGTCGACCGTGTGTTCGGTTTCCTGGGGAACTCGGGGCCGTTACCCAATCAGGACGGACAAGCGCCAGCTGGCTTTGAAGTACGTGTTTATGTTTTTTGTTTTTCTGCTGTTTCTGTTTCCGTCTCATCCTGACTGGGTATTTTATTGATGCGTTGCTTTGCGTGTATTCTCCCGCCGCGCAGGACTTGGAGAACACTCCTCGTGGCGAGGAGGCCGAGGAGGAGGTGCTGAATGAAGCTCCGCCGTTACCTGATGAAGAAGAGGAGGATTTGTCCGAGTACAAGTTCTCCAAGTTTGCGGCCACCTACTTCCAGGGCGTTTCCACTCACACCTACATCAGACGGCCGCTGAAACAACCTCTGCTTTTCCACGAGGATGAAGGAGATCAGCTGGTGAGACTGACCTGTGATCTCAGCTGTTCACTCAGTTATTCACATTATTTAACTCACTTAAAGGAACAGTTATATATTTTAGGATATATGATTAATCGCTTTCTTGTCCCAGGGTTCGATGACGAGATTGATACCGCTCCCATGTCTGTGTGTTAATTAGCCTAGCTTAGCATAAGTGGGGTTTACTCCTTAGTTGTCGTTAAAGATCAACAAAACGAAGCACGTGTGTTACTCACCTTTCTGCTGATTTAAACGTCCTGTCCTGTCCTCCAGGCTGCATTAGCCGTGTGGATCACCGTGCTGAGGTTCATGGGGGATCTCCCTGAGCCCAAGTGCCAGATGGTCATTAACGACGGCAGCGAGAAGATCCCCGTCATGACCAAGATCTACGAAACCCTCGGCAAGAGGACCTACAAGAGGGAGCTGCAGGAGCTGCAGGTGGAAGGAGAGGTGGGAGGAAATTAGTGTTGAGCATTTTGCCAGCATGCGGAAGGAGGACGGTCACATTACTGATGGTCACGTCTAGCACTAACAGTGGAAGCTGTAATCAAACTGTCGTTGTGTCTACAGAACAGCTCCATAGACATCCAGAAGAGGAACAGCGTCAGACATAAACTTGTGTCTCTCACCCTGAAGAGGAAATCCAAGATCACAGAGGAGGTGAGATTCAAACCAGCAACAACTTCTGATCTTATCACCAGTGTTTTATCTTTATACATCTGTAATTTTAGCTTTTAGCTGCCACTTACACTGACAATTCAAATTTATTTATATAGCACAAACAATCAACACAGAAAATCAAACATCAATAGAAAAGAAAACAGCAAAACAAACAGGCAAACAAAATGAGGGCGACAGCTTATCGTGGCTGGAACTCTGATGAGAATAAATATGTTTTGATTTGATGTTATGATTGGAAAGAGATGATGGGTGGATCTGAGTGACACGAGCAAGCTATCCCACGGCCTGGGGGGCCGTGTCTGAGAACGTGCGGTCACCTCTTGGTTTAAAGTCGGCGGGAGGGACGGTGAGGAGGCCACCGTCCAATGATCTGAGGGGCCTGGATGTAGTGTACAGGGTTAACAGGTCTGTGATGTTAAGTGTTTGTCGTCTCTTTTTATTAATTTTTATCTCTTTAATGTCTGCGGCAGGTCACCAGGCGGCTGACAGATGGCGACTACGCCCTCCAGGGGAACAGCATGCTGGAGGACCGACCCACCTCCAACCTGGAGAAGCTTCACTTCATCATCGGCAACGGCATCTTACGCCCCGCCCTCAGGTGACCTACGAGCAGCTGTGGTTTTAATGCCGCCACTTCCTTTTAATAATGTCTTCACAGAATCCAGACTTGCAGCTTTAAATCCATAAGCTTTAAAGGTTTTAATGCCTCACTAGCGCCCCCTTGTGGCCGCAGTGTCGCTGACACCCTGCTGGATTATTGTGCTGAAAAAAATCAATCACATACTGAGATTTTATGTTCTTATGAACTGACTTGTGGTTGGTACTAGAAAACAAACCCTCTAGTTTTAGAGGAAAGTTCATTGAGCATCCAAACTGGAAAAGGTTAATCCTCTCAGGAGCATGAATGTGCTGAGGAAATAATTTAGATTTTGTAGAAGGGGAAATTCTGGCCTGATAGTCGAGGAAAGATAAAGGTAATATTACACTGAAATCCTATTTTACTTAGTTTCCCATTATAATCCTACTGTAATCTCAAGCCGGCTCAGGCAGATCCAAAGGTCAGAGGTCACCTTTGTTCTTCTGTGACTGAACGGATGCACTTGGTCGGCCAGTACAATTATTATTCTATTGATTTTCTTTCACTATTTAGTACATTTAATACTTTTTAAGAAATGAAAAACTCTGTTTTTGCTCACTTCCCTGTAAGTAGGAGCACGTTTTCTGGATAAATGTGTTTTACTCTTCACCCTCAGTGTCGAGTTATTTCCTAAGTTTCTTCTTCAGAGAGTTCTCTAACTGCAGAAGTTTGATGGTTTTGATCTGCTGTCGTTTCTCCGCCTCAGGGACGAGATCTACTGTCAGATCTGCAAACAGCTCACTCAGAACCCGTCCAAGAGCAGCCACGCCCGAGGCTGGATCCTGCTGTCGCTCTGCGTGGGCTGCTTCGCCCCGTCCGAAAAGTTTGTCAAAGTAAGAAACCTCTGACTCCTCTCCATCTCTGTTGGGTTTACGTCCTGATGTGAGGTGATATTGAAGTGATATGATATTTTTCTTCCTCATTTGTTGCTTGTTTTTACTCTTTGTTGCTCATGTTTGTAACTATTGATGCAAACACTCAGGAAATGAAGAGTGCAAGGGATGAAAATACACTTAAAGGGAGAGGGAAGACGTTGAAAAGTCAGCAATCTCACTGAAACCAAACAGAATAAAAGATTTACAAAGATGGAGTTTTACTCAAAGAACAACACAACAAAACAACACAACAAAACAACACAACATCTCCTCTGTCCGTCGTTCCTGTCCAATGTCTGCACTTCATCGATCCCAGACTGACGAGCAGTTTTTGTTGTGAAAAACACAATATGGAGCAAATAAATCCTGTTTATTGTCCTAAAAGGCAGAATCCACCTGAGGGAATAGACGCAGCAAATCAATTACTGGAAACACTCACAGTCACAACGTCTCTGTGTCTCCATCATAAAAGCTCGGGAGTCTGAGGTTGTATCAAAGAAAGAAACCGAAATCCATAAAAGCCATCAAAGAAAATAAATAAATAAATAAAAGACATTAAAGTAAATAAAGTTAGTAAAGGAAGAATCCACTCAAATACTGTTTATATTGGTTTAATGAAGGTTTCTTTCTTCTTGATCCTTTTCCCTGTGTTTCTAGTATTTACGGACGTTTTTGATCAACGGTCCCCCTGGTTACGCTCCGTATTGCGAGGAAAGGTTGAGGAGGACATTTGTCAATCGTACACGGACTCAGCCGCCATCGTGGTTGGAGCTGCAGGTATTCAACTTACTTCTTGCTCTGTGTTTTCTGTTGTCAGGGAATCTTCAGGACCTAAAAAGTGTAAAAAAAAAAAATCATAAAACAAGTCCAAAGGAAATTTTACTTATTTGCATTTGAGCTCTACATGAAATACAAACAAATATTATTTTATTCAAGGAAATTCTTTAATAAAATTGATTTTCTTTGAGAAAAGTGGAATTGTTTTTATAAATGTGAGATTTTTAGGACATAATGTTGAATTACTGTTGAACGCTTTGTTATTAAATACTTAAATTTGAATCTGTTTTTTTACCCTTAAGGCCACTAAATCTAAGAAGCCCATCATGCTGCCAGTTACATTTATGGATGGCACCACCAAGACCCTCTTGGCAGACTCGGCCACCACGGCCAGCGAGCTCTGCAACGCTCTGGCGGACAAGATCAACCTGAGAGATCGATTTGGCTTCTCGCTGTACATCGCCCTGTTTGACAAGGTAAAACCACAACCATGGACGGATCCTGATACACTGGGGCCCCTGGGCAGAGGCATGTAAAAGCCCCCCACCCTCATATTTACCCCCAAACTGAAAGGGACATAAAACGACTACAAACAATGCAACTCCAATCATTTTGTGTCTCTTTGTGGTCATTTTGAGTTGCTTTGTAATTGTTTCTTTTTTTGTGTCTCTTTGTGGTTGTTTTTGTGTCTTTGTGGTCGTTTTGTGTCATTTTATGTCTCTTTGTGGTCGTTTTGTGTCTCTTTGTGGTTGTTTTGTGTCGTTTTGTGTCTCTTTGTGGTCATTCTGTGTCTCTTTGTGGTCGTTTTGTGTCTCTTTGTGGTTGTTTTGTGTCTCTTTGTGGTTGTTTTGTGTCTCTTTGTGGTCGTTTTGTGTCGTTTTGTGTCATTCTGTGTTTCTTTGTGGTTGTTTTGTGTCTCTTTGTGGTTGTTTTGTGTCGTTTTGTGTCTCTTTGTTTTCGTTTGTGTCATTTTGTGTCTCTTTGTGGTCACTTTGCATTTCTATGTAGATGCTTATGTTGTGTTTCTTAGTGGTCATTTTGTGTCTCTTTGTAGTTATTCTGCGTTTCCTTATGGTCACATCATCTTTTGTGTCTGTTTGTGGTCGTTTTGTGTCTCTTTGTAGTCGCTTCTTCTTTTGTATCTGTTTGTGGTCGTTTTGTGTCTCTTTGTAGTCGCTTCTTCTTTTGTATCTGTTTGTGGTCGTTTTGTGTCTCTTTGTAGTCGCTTCTTCTTTTGTATCTGTTTGTGGTCGTTTTGTGTCTCTTTGTAGCCGTTTTACGTCTCTTTGTGTTTTTCTCTCTTTATAGTCGTTTTGTGTCTCTTTGTAGTCAATTCATCTTTTGTGTTTGTTTTGTGTCTCTTTATAGTCGTTCTGTCTCTTTGTGGTCGTCTTGTGTTTCTTTGTCCATCCCATAAATATCACTGAGAGTAGTCTAAACAACAGAAACTCCTCTCTGTAGGATGTAATACAATTCAACAGCACCACAAACTACAGCCTCCAAAATGACATTGAACATCCAAAATGACATTGATGACATTAAAACCTTCATGAAGGTAGGATTATTGCAGAGCTGTTGGTTTAGGCTGCGTTAGTTTTAGCTAAGTGTCCCTGTACATTGTGTTTGTTACAGTACAGTGTCATATTGGCGTCTCATTGAACAGTTGTCTCAGATAGGATGGAGGCTGTACATAGTGGTTGCATATTCGCCATTTTACTGAATAAATTGGTGAAACATTGGTGTTGTTTTTTTTTTTTTGTCAGGTGTCGTCGCTGGGCAGCGGCAGCGACCACGTCATGGACGCCGTCTCCCAGTGTGAGCAGTATGCGAAGGAGCAGGGCGCCCAGGAGAGGAACGCCCCCTGGAGGCTGTTCTTCAGGAAGGAGATCTTCAGCCCCTGGCACAACCCCGCTGAGGACTACGCCGCCACAAACCTCATTTACCAGCAGATCGTCCGCGGGGTGAAGTTCGGAGAGTACCGCTGCGAGAGGGTGAGCAAATACATCCATTTACTTAACTAAATATTTACTACCAATCACCAATCAGCTGTGCGCCGATTTAGTACTCCGCCCGGAAACTGAAAGTGAAACTAAAGTTCCAACCTTCTTTCGATTTGCTTCCTTCTTTTAAAAGACATCAACATCTGCACTGATATACATACATGAGAATAAAAAAACAAAGAACAGTACAGAGTTCAGGATAATCCCTCACGGAGACCTTGTGGGTGTAGTGCTGGTCACACCAGTGGAAACGGCCTGGAACTAAATTTGATGTTAATCAGTCCAATGGTTGCGATATTATTTCCAAAGCTTAAACGGTTTGAAACTACAAAACGTTTAAGAAACATTTGGTTCAGGGCTCAGTCATCCTAAACAAGCCAAAATTTCAAATCTGCTCAATGAATCAATAAATATACTTCCTCAAAATTGAAAATGTGCAGCCAGAAACTTGTCCAAATAAAACATAAAACTCCACATACAGATCGAGGGAATGTTGCCATGCTCATTATGTTTGAAAAGGTTGTACAAGTTTTCATAGAGACTGACGGGCAGAAAAAAGAAAATCTTCAGTTACTTCATCAGATACGTGTTTTGTTTCCTTGTGATCTCCTCCTCGCTCCGTGTCTGCGTCTGGAAGGAGGAGGATTTAGCAGAGCTGGCCTCTCAGCAGTACTATGTGGATTATGGCTCCGAGATCCTCCAGGAGCGTCTGCTCAGCCTCATCCCCTCCTACATCCCCGACAGAGAAATCACCTCGACTAAGACGGCAGAGAAGTGGGTTCAGCTCATCATCAGCGCCCACAAAAAGGTACCTGCCACAGTCAAAACCGACATTTTGTTTTTTAAGGATCTTGCTGTTGAACTAACTGCGACTGATTGTTCAGGGATTATACACGAAGAGGAGGATGAACACGCAGAGGGTGAAGGAGGACGTGGTGGATTTCGCTCGTTTAAAGTGGCCTTTACTCTTCTCACGCTTCTACGAGGCCTTCAAATTCTCAGGTTGGTGAACACAAACGCACCAACAGTCTGTATTCTCATTGTGTGTCGCAATGAATCTTTGTTGTTCCTCGCGGATACGACGCATGACGTGTGCGTTCACAGGGCCGAGTCTGCCCAAGAACGACGTGATCGTGGCAGTGAACTGGACCGGGGTTTACTTTGTGGACGAGCAGGAGCAGGTTCTTCTGGAGCTTTCTTTCCCAGAGATCACCGCTGTGTCCAGCAGCAGGTACGACGGCACCAAGTTTCAATGATCTGATTATATGAACAATGCAAAGTGTATGGTTAAAGTAAATTTCATTTCGCAGAGGGGGTAAACTCCAGGGCCAGAGCTTCACCTTGGCCACCATGAAAGGAGACGAGTACACGTTCACCTCCAACAACGCAGAGGACATCCGCGATCTGGTGGTCTCCTTCCTGGAGGGTCTGAGGAAGAGGTCCAAGTATGTGGTGGGACTCCTGGACTGTCCCAACCCCGGTAAGACTCAGCGATGGTTGGAAATGAAAGCGTGTTTTGACACGTTGTGACATCACCTCAGAGAGACTGATGGTGTAACTGCTCAAACTGCTACTGTCAGAGCCGGAGACGTTTTGTTTTTCGGGTTGTCCGTCCTACATCCCATTCTTCCGGACGCGATATCTCAGTAACGCCTTGACGGAACGTCTTCAGATTTGGCGCAAACATTCACTAGGACTCAAGGATGAAGTTATTAGATTTTGGTGGCTAAAGGTCAAAGGTCAAGGTCCCTGTGACCTCACAAAACACAATTTGGCCATTACTCAAGATGCAACAGTTATGACAAAATTTCACACAAAACGCTGGATAAACAGGGATGTAACATGGAACTAGTCTGAGTGAAGGAGGGACACAACCACGAGGAGGTGATTCTAGTTTTGATGTGTTCTTCATCTCACAGTGGGGGCGGACTCCCCGTTCCTGAGTTTCTCCAAAGGGGATCTGATCATCCTGGACGAACACGACGGAGAGCATGTGATGAACTCCGGCTGGGCTCACGGCATCAACGACAGGACCAAACAGAGAGGAGACTTCCCTGCTGACTGCGTCTACGTGCTGCCCACTGTCACCAGACCACAGTACGACATAGTGGTGAGTGGGGCCACGACAAGGATCAAACACCTGTAGATTATTGATTACTGCTCTGTCTAGAACTTCAACACCGTCGAACATCACCACGTTCATTTTGCAGTAATCTGGCTGCTATAAACAGGAAACCTGCAGGGATTTAGAAGGTATCAAAACATCTTAAATTTGATTTAAACCTTAAATCGTAGGTAGAAATGCATCCAACACATCGACTACAGAACCAACTGTTCCATTTGCCACCTTCATGTCTCCGCAGCGTCCCGGACTTTGCGTTAACCCTTGTGACATGCAGCCCTCTACATGTTTTATCAGATCTATATAATTACGCTTCACAATGAGGTTTTTGTTTTTGAGTGCACTCTCCTCTTTTCTTCCCTCTCTCTCTCTCTCTCTCTCTGCGTCTCAGGCTCTGGTCACCATGACTCCCGATCAGAGGCGAGAATCCATCGGTTTGTCCCAGATGAACCTCTCCGGCCATGAGGACAAAACAAAGGCCTACACGCTGGAGCTATTCTCCTACGACTACTTCAGGTGTTTTTTTGTTTTTTTTTCTATCATTTAGAGACCTAGTCCATATTTATAAGAGTAATTTTGGTGCATTAGCCTCTTGTGAAGACTGACCTTTTATTAGAATCATTTTTAATCATTTTTTTTATTGCAAATTTACAGCGAGTGTTTGAGTGTTTTGAGTCTCTGATGCTCAGATCTCCCCACCCCTCCTGCATGTTTCCAGGGCTCCTCCTAAGAGCACTCTGAGCAGGGTGATGATCTCTAAAGCCCGAGGGAAGGAGCGTCTGTGGAGCTGCACCAGGGAGCCTCTCAAACAGCCTCTGCTGAAGAAAGTCCTGGCTCACGAGGAGCTCTCCCAGGAGGCCTGCCTGGCCTTCATAGATATCCTTTAGTGAAGGGTGTGTCAGTACTGCTGTGTGTGTGTGTTTTATAAGGGTACATAAGGGTACACATAATGGACAGACGTGTAAATGACAACAACAAAAACAATAAACACAAGAAATAATAAATCTTACAAAGAAGATGCTTATATGATATTGTAAAACATATGTAAATAGAATATTATAATAATAGTCTGTTTTGTGTGTTTTAAATGTTTTCATCAATGAACCTGCTTCCACCACACAGTTCAGTGTTTGTATTTTGTTGGTGTCTTTAACTGAGTCTGTACCTGTGATGAAGTACATGGGCGACTACCCGTCCAAACGAGCGCGCTCTGTCAACGAGCTCACCGATCAGATCTTTGAAGGAGCGCTGAAGGCCGAGCCGCTCAAAGACGAGATCTTCTGTCAGGTTCTCAAACAGCTCACCGACAATCCCATCAAGTAGGTCTGACGTTCACAAACAAGCAAAGAAGAGAAGGTTTTGTTTCTTTACCCTCAAGCGTGGAAGAATATATGAGACCTCTGCACATATTTGAGTTGTGTGTGTGTGTGTGTGTGTGTGTGTGTGTGTGTGTGTGTGTGTGTGTGTGTGTAGGTACAGTGAGGAGAAGGGCTGGGAGCTGCTGTGGCTCTGCACTGGTTTGTTTCCTCCCAGTAACATCCTGCTGCCTCACGTCCAGAAGTTCCTCCAGGCCAAGAAGCACTATCCTCTGGCTCCGGACTGCATGCAGCGGCTACAGAAAGCCTTACGGTAACACACACACACACACACTTGATGTCTTTGTCTTTCTTGAACACACTCCTCTGTTCAGTTTACATCCATATCATCCCTCCTCTCTTTTATTTGTTGTAGAAATGGATCGAGAAAGTATCCTCCTCACCTGGTGGAGGTGGAGGCCATCCAGCACAAGACCACTCAGATCTTCCACAAAGTTTACTTCCCCGACGACTCAGACGAGGTGAGCGACGTCTGTGTTTCATCACATCAACCTAATGCAACGAAAAGGAAGTGCTCTGACTCCGTCTGTCTGCACCAGCGGTTAGAATGAGCAGTTTTATTATATAATGTGGATCTCAGCGGTCTGACAAACGTCCACTGTTGTTGCACTGGGATCATCTGGTGGAGTTACTGCTGTATTAGTCGTGGTGACTGGTCACAGTGTGCTGGTATTGTCCTTTTTAAAATGGGATATCGTAACATGAGCTTCTTTTTGAGGCCTTCAGTTAATATAATATTTTTTCATTCTCAGTGGAGACTCATCTGTTAGTTACACTGTTCACTTTTCCATAAAATGGCCTTACCGTTGATAATTGATTATTCATAATAAGAGTAGCAATTAAAATGTAAATTATGTCAAATACTTGGGTGAAAATATGTTTTATTTCATGTAGAAAAATCAGATTTCTGTGTTTTTTTTTTCCTTCTCTTTCAAAATAAAAAACAATTATTAACGCAGATTCTGTTGAGACGTTTTGACTCCTTGTATGTTGTTACAGGATATGGTATATGTTGTTGTTGTTACAAGGTTGGAAAATAGTTGGAAATGGATCATGAAAGCAATCGGCTACAAGGTTTACATCCAACAGCATCAGCGTTCATAAACTGTACCTGCTGTTCTCCTCTTCTTCAGTTTGTCCTGTTTGTGTTCACAGGTGTTTGAGGTGGAGTCGAGCACCAAAGCCAAAGACTTCTGCCACAACATCTCCGGACGTCTGATGCTCAAATCCTCCGAGGGCTTCAGCCTTTTCGTCAAGATCACTGACAAGGTGAGGAGCGGCTGATCGTCTGGACTCCACTACAACAAATAATTCAAAGCACACAGCTCTGTCTTCATCAGTGACTGTCTGCTGCTGCTGCTGCTGCTGCTCTACTGACTGTGGAGCAAATACGTGAAAAGATAATTTCATCTTTTAATCATGTGAATTTGTTGTTTAAATGTTTTATTTATTTATTTATTTGATAAGAAAAAAACTGCACATGTAGCTTGAGTCACAGAGACCTGGGTTTCATTTTCATGCACTGAGGTGGAAAGCGGAAGTTCGACAAAAACAAGGTGCATTTAGTAGCTGTTCCCGAGCTTGGTAGAGAATAAATGTTTGTGATTGGCTCTCCAGGTTATCAGTGTGCCCGACGGAGACTTCTTCTTCGACTTTGTGAGGCACCTGACCGACTGGATCAAGAAAGCCAGACACGTAAAAGACGGTAAGAAGATCAGCTCGTCTTTAAACTGCTGCCCGTGCACAAGCCCGAGGATAATGTTTCCAAAATAAAATTTAGAAAAAGTTACTGTTTACACTTTAAACTTAACAACCAGAAAGTCAGAATGAGTAGAAGAGATACTGAACCAAAGTTAGAGGCACTAACATGGTAGAAACGTCACGGTCCCCTTGGTGTGCAGGTGTAGTGCCTTCACTGACGTATCAGGTGTTCTTCATGAAGAAGCTGTGGACCAACACCATGCCGGGAAAAGACTCCATGGCCGACTCGATCTTCCACTACTACCAGGTGAGTGATGAATGCATTCAGCTCCTACTTAGTCTCCAGTAGTTCTTGTTTTAATGATGATCTTCCAAAGATTGAGACGATTGAAACGCTGTGTCTGATCTCGGGAGTTGACTGTCCCCTCTCTCTCTCTCTCTCTCTCTCTCTCTCTCTCTCTCTCTCTGTGCAGGAGCTGCCTAAGTACCTGCGAGGCTACCACAAGTGTTCGAGGGAGGAGGTGCACCAGCTGGCGGCGCTGATCTACAGGGTGAAGTTCGACGAGGATAAATCCCACTTCCAGAACATTTCCAAGATCCTGAGGGAGCTCGTCCCACAGGACCAGGTCCGACACCTGTCCCCCGACGACTGGAAGCGGGTGAGCTGACATTTAAAAGCTGCAAAGACTGAGAGAGATCTGGTTTAGGTGTGAAGGTGGTAACACTCACACATGAGCTTACGGCCTCAGATGTAGAATAAAAGTGTTTGTTTGATCATGTGTTTTTCGCTCCTTGTTAACTCGCCGAGCGTTTCATTAGAAACACGATACACATCGAGTGTTCTGTAAATGTTCAGAAAATGTTTTTAACTCGTTTTCGTGTGTGTGTTTCCACCTCAGTCCGTCTTGTCGCTGTACAACAAACACGCAGGGAAGACTCGAGAAGAAGCCAAACTCTCCCTCCTCAAAATCATTTACAAGTGGCCCACGTTTGGCTCCGCCTTCTTTGAAGTGAAGGTGAAGACGTTCATTCACTCAGTCACTAGTTCAGAAGAGCTGATGATGAAGATGGTGATTACAACTGTCATCATGACACTGTGTGTGAAGTATTTTAAATTCTCCTGTTTTGTTCTCTCTGCAGCAAACGACTGATCCAAATTACCCAGAAACCCTCCTGATAGCGATCAACAAACATGGAGTCAGTCTGATTGATCCAAAGTCTAAGGTGGGTCCAGACTGATCGTATTTGTGCACAGTAGTTTGTTTCTGTGATTAAGATCTTTCCCTGTTGTACACCTTTTCAGTATTTAAAAACACTAAACTGCTATTTTCTATGATCCAAATGCCGAAAGCTGCAGAGTTCAGTCTATAAAGTCTGTTTCTGTGCTCATCTGACTCGTCGTGTCTCCTGCAGGACATCCTCACCACTCACCCCTTCACTAAAATCTCCAACTGGAGCAGCGGCAACACGTACTTCCACATCACCATCGGAAACCTGGTCAGAGGCAGCAAACTGCTGTGTGAAACCTCACTGGTGAGCCTCTGAATTTACAGCGTTTCACACTGGTCAGAATAACCACAAAGTAAGAGTCTGGGCATTTCGCTTTCAAAATAAAAGTGTCAGAGTTAAATTGAGATAAATTATAGACTTGACTGCGTTTACACAGGTGGCGTTCAGGTACAGTGGCCGTTCAGAATGACTATAACTACATCATTTTATTTCCTGTGTTGTCGGACAACACCTGAGAACAAACTTGTTCCTTTCCAGCAACAAAGCTGTAATCAGAAACCTGTGGCTTCATCAGACGTGCGCACCTGCGTCCTGACACACACCACAACACACAGCGTTCGGTGGATGTTCCTCTCTGGCCTCTGCAAACAGCAATAACCTCAGATTAGCGTTTTAAAGATGGCCAGACGCACTCGTAGCACAGTGTGGATGTAAAACTGTTAGGAGGATCTGCTTAAAAAAAAAAAAAAACCCTCAAAGATAGATTATGAAATGTTATTATTATAAAGAAATATAACTTTCTTCTGCTTTTCTTCATTTTATGTAACGAGTGTTTTCCCAGAGAGTAACTATTTTAAACTCAACAGGGCCGCTCATCCCAATAAATAAATATCAGTTTAATACCATGTGTCTGACGTCCGACCACCTCCTACACCCCTCAGGGTTACAAAATGGACGACCTCCTGACCTCTTACATCAGCCAGATGCTGACGACCATGACCAAACAGCGAAGCACCCGGGGCAACAGCAAGTGAGCAGACGACGGCCGGAAACTCATCGATCACGGTCAATCAATCCTGCATCCACACACACACACACAGACACAGAGCTGTCCACATACACACAGTGTGAATACATGTAAACACACTTATTGTCCCACTGAGGGTTTATTAAGACAGACGACTGATGGTGAACTGTGACACTGTACTGCCAACGTTTTCATTGATGTTATTATGTATCGGCCCTGTCTTAAAACTCACCCATTGCCTTTAAATGACCTTTTCCCAACACGTCACACGTCAATCTGGAGCTTTTCTGAGCTTAAAGTAAACTGCTGCTCACAGTGTCTCACTCTACGGCTCCAGTAACCTACGTTATAGAATCAGAGGTTTCTCAGTTCATCATCTCTGTGCTGTGAAGTTTTTTTTTTTTGTTTAATGAGCTTTTTTCGTTGCAACTATGTTAAGACAATAAAACGGTACAAAAATAACTAGATTGGAAATCTGGGCCTGAATTTATCGAGAATCTCCAGAGTAGAAACTTCTCGGTGAGGCGTTCGTGGTCACGTTACCTGCTGGTATTTAGGAGAACTAGAGAGGTGAGGTCACCTGTACAAGCTGCAGCAGACGGAGGTCAGACCCACATGATGATTGGTAACTACAGCTATACGCTTATTTTAAAAATTGCAGCTTTGAAACGGTGATGATCACAACCAGTAACCTCTGCAGTAATCAATCAAACTGACCGCTTGATAAATACAGGCCTTGATCTCCAACCATTAAAAAAAAAAGTAGCTGGGCCTGAAACAGCTGCAGACCGATGACAGCCACGACCAAAATCCTAGATAAAAAGATGAAATCTCTCTTGTTGCTTGTTGATTATTTGTCTTGTAAGTAGCTTTATTTTTCAATTGCATCCGTATTTATGTTCAGAGTCGTGTTTAAGTTTACCAAGCCAGTTTCAAACATAGAGCCACTTCTGAATGTGTTTTAGATTGAAATCTCTCATTCAAATATAAAATAGAAACCACACCAAAGGTAACCTGTCACTCACAAATGACCCTTCAGACTCATGTGATATTTTGTTTTGGTCCTTTTGCCAATTTCGAACTTGGACACACTCCAATCTGGATTTAAAACTTGCTGCAGAGGGCTGGTGATTTTTATTTTTATTTTGTATTGCATTGTTAGTTACGCATGTGCAAGGAAACAGACCATACGTGTGCCACAAAGTTCAAACACCACCTGTCTGTATGAGGTGATCCACGGTAGTTAGACTGTTTCTAGAACATGTCCGTTGTACTCATACTGTAGCCGGTGAATGATTTTACTCTCATTTGTCTGTTTTTTTTTTTTTCTAAATATATGAACCATTAGCTTTGATTTTTAAGCACAAAGAAATAATCATGACACTTTTTTGGACCATGTTTATTGAGGAGAAATTGTTTCATCCATCTTGTGACCACATATCCTGATGTAGACGTGAATAAAATGACATTTTGCAAAGAACAGATTTATTCCTCTTTAATGCTCTGCTGCGCCTGGGGACTGTGGTTCTCGGAAATGTCTCAATAAAAATACTCTTTTCATTCTGATATGCCACATTACACTTAAATCAGTGTGTTCAGACAGACTGAGAAGCCAATTTCAGAAGCGGAGTGATTTCATATAAAGTCAATGGAGAGATCAAATTGGATCAAGGCAGAGAGATCGGAGGTTCGGACGTTCATAATGTAAAACCTGAGCGAATATTCACATGTTTACCAGGACGTTTTAAGTTCAGTCGGAGGCCGAGGTAAAAGTAATGACACAGATAAGATCTGTGCAGATGGTACACGAGCTGTCTGGGGGGGAATAAAGACAAATGGTCCAGCGGTCCGAGGAGGATATTCGCTTTGCTTTCTCACGGTGAAAACCCGCTGGAAGCAAATACAGTGTAAACAAGAAGTTTCCACAGTTTACACAACGTCATGCACTTCTCTTTCTGTAATCCTGGAGGATCTTCAAAGCCACCAGATGAATCCCCCCCCCCTCATCGCTGGTCAGTGTCATGTGACTCTTTGTGTCCCAGAGAAAATGAAACGTTTCAGCGGATCTTCACCGGGACTGAACTGAACACACCTTCAGACAGATCCTCTCATTGGCTCTCAGTGGTGACATCAATTTAAAAACAAATCATGTCACTCTAATCTTATGTGTCTGTACATTTGGCACATGACCGCCATCAAACCACATCATCATTATTACACTTTGGTTTTTATGCAGAGATCAAACAAACGAGATAAAACATGTTAATTAATGAGCTTCACAGGAGTTGGTAGGTCACTCGTTTATCACTGGATGAAATGATGAATATTCCTCTTAAAGCTTTCATCGGCTCAAAATAAACTAAACTTTTTTAAAATCATTTAAACATTCAACCTGACAAGAAGATTAGATTTTTGTGCAGAGTGCTGATAAAACAGCTACTAAGAGAGTGAAGGAATGTTTCCATCACTTTATTTCATTAAAACAAAGTGGACTGAGATCTTACAGGTTGGCAGTATGCGGCTCAGTGTTGCCAGGTCGGCTCCTCTCAGAGGCCGATGTCGGTCAGTGCTCTGTGACGGTTGCCAGGTTTGGCGTCCTCTCTGCTTGCGAGTTAGCGCTGGTGACTGACCATATGTCGCTCATCTCTGCAAGTGAGGATCAGATTCAGAAGAAGGAGCGGATTCACATAAAATATTCCAGTCACATAACAACAGTAATGGAAGTCGGTGAATACGAAGAAACAGCATCTGATTCAGTTTAAGGCTGCAACAAAATATATAAAACACATAAATATTTTAAGTATTGATTATTTTCCAGGTTCATTGTTGGTTTATAAAGTGTCAGTAAAAAGTGAAAAGATGTCAAAAGATAGTTAATTTATTATATTATACTATAATGTGACACATTTTTCCATATTATGTTTTATTCAAACATAATATCAGACTTTCACTATCAGTCAAATTCATCTTTAAGTTGTTTATTGTGTGTTTTGTCTCTTTTTTGGCAAATGAATTAGACTCTAATACGTGTGTGGTGCGGTGGAGAGAGAGAGAGAGAGAGAGAGTGTGACCAGAACTGAACAAGAGAAGAGAACAGTTATTCAAACGGTTAATAAATAAAGAAGCTCAAATATAGTGTAATGGGCTTTTTAAAAAATCACATGTAACTCTTCTTCTTTATGAATATTACGTCTGTATCACGACATTTGCAGCCTAAATGTCCCGGACGCTAACGAACAAACAAACAGACGGCGGAGCAGATGCGTCAGGAACATTAACGTCTCACCTGTCTTGAACTTGCTGTAAGTGCCGTTGTCCAGTGTGATTTTGCTGCCCGAGGAGAACGCCAGCCCTCGCTCTCGCCACCTGCCACGCAAACACAAAATCAACACTGTCATCTCTGACAGCAGCAGAGCAGAGCTTCAGATAGTTCTGCCCAGGTGGAAGAGTCACCACTACATCTCCCGTGTGTTCAGGTAGGATGTGCTTAATTCACCGTCGGTGTTTTTAGTGTGAGAGTGTGTGAGAGATTCACCAGTGGAAAGTGAAGACGATGAGGATCAGCACGAGGGACAGCAGATCGGTGAGAATCCACATCAGGTTGTATTCATCTGGACTCTGAGAGAGAGAGAGATGAAACAGAGAGGTCAGGGATTCACACAGTGGCAAGGAAAAGTAAGTCAACCCTTTAAAATGATCTTCATTTATGTAGAAATCTCTCTTAAAATATAATAAGATCTTAACAATCTACTTTAACTGATAAACAAACCATTGTGTCGTTCTTGTCCATATTGAAAACATCACTCAGTGTGTATGTTAGAAAACGTATGTTAAAAACCAACTCATTCTAAAGGGTTCACTTACTACTTCTTGCCACCGCACACATTCACATGTACAGGTAAATAAAAAGGCAACAGACAAAAATATAATTTTCTTTTTTCGTCCTTATAAAAAGACAATTTCTCCTTTTGCACATTGAACATTTTGGCACTTTTTAATACATATAAATTAATAATTAATAATACATTAACTCAAAGTCTGCTAACTAGCATTTTCCTGAGCTTTTAGCTGCATGTCATAGTCTTCATTAACATGGAGTTTTCCCGCTTGTGGGAAAACGAACAGGCAAGGACAGAGATGGGAGGTGTCGGGCAGAGGTTGAACTCGGTCTCACCATGAGGAAGAGGGGGGAGCTCATGGTGCTGAGCAGCTGGGGGGAGTTGGTGGTGACCGAGTGGACGCCGCTGCACCAGGCCAGAGAGTAGAGCCACGGCTGGCTGATCACATACAGGTTGGTGGTGATGTTCACAGCCTCGTACTCCCTGCACACGAGAGAGGAGAGAAGCATGTTGTGTTACTTAACACCAGGAGCATCACTGACACACACACACACACACACACAAACACGCAGTGTGACCTGACGAGCTCAGCGGACATGGAGCTGTAGTGCAGGTTCAGTTTGACGATGTTGTTACTCTGCAGCTCCTCTAGAGGGAGCCGACTTCCAGACGTCTGCTGCAGCTCGGGATCTATTTCCTGCACCAGAGCCCTGAGATCTGATGGCAGCCACAGCACCTGGTGAGAGAGCACACACATACACACACACACACACACACACACACACACACACAATAAAAGACACATTAATACAATATGTACAACAAACTTTTACTAAACAACAAGATTTAACTGATCAACAGGAGAATGATCCGTGATGATTGTGCGTTTGTCTCACCTGTGAGGAATGGATGGAGGACTCGTTCTGGATGACCTCCAGCGTGCGTTGGATCCAGGTGTCTCTGTACGGGTGACCTCTGGGTGGGCGGTAGAGGTCAAAGATCACCAGTTTGTCTGTCTGAGCTGCCAGCTGGAGGAAGGCCTGCAGGCTGCAGACCGACTGGTTTCCCGCCCGCTGTCGCTCCTCTGCTCCCAGAGAGCCGGCTGTACCGAACGGATTGTGCTAGAAAGGGACGACCATCAATACCTAATTAATACTGTGACATAACAAGCTGTATAACGGGCCAATACCTTCTTCATCTGCTCACCGATTACTGTGTGGTACTGCTGTACACAGCTGCCAGTGAGTTGATCCACGTGCGAGTTAAAAACAACCAATACTTTCTACCTCAGAGCCAGAGACTTTAAATAAGTTCAACAAACAGAAAGAACGTGCAGAAGTGACACAGTAAAGACACCGCACATCTGCTCCACCTCTGTCTGAGTCCCTTCTACGTCATGCAGTGATGAATAAAATAATAATTTGAGATTTGTGTGCATCTAAATAAATTAATAGTTTGCTTTGTATCTGATTTAAAAGCCAGTTTAAAATCTAAAGGTCATTTTGTTTAAGAAAAGCCTGAGTAGAGGAAAGTAAAGGAAGAAAAGCTCGTGTGACTCACGGAGAGGAACCAGGCGCCGGCGTTCAGACTCTCCAGTTCGGCCCAGGTGAACATGGCGGCCGGAGCGTCGGTCCGGTTGGGGAAAACCTCGTGGACGTTGGTGGTCCGTCGGAGGGTGCGGTCATGCATCAGGAAGGGCACCCCATCAAAACTACAACCAGGAGACAGGACAGCAGCATTGACTTGTGTCAGTATAATTTATATATTTAATATGTGTCGTAATTAAACCAAATCTCAGTTTAGACGACAGATAACTTTGGTAATCTCTTCACTTTCACCCAGCTCCATTTGTTGATTCGAAACACAGGAAACCTCTGTTCATAAATTCACATGAGAATCAGAATAAACCTGTTTTTATGGTTGTGCTTTTAATCAAATCAACCTTTGAGATTTCTTTTATATTGATCTGTGGTTTTGCTTTTACTACTGTCAGTAGTTTTATTATAACCAGGATCATCTCTTATCTCTCTCTCATCTTATCTCTTCTTTCTTTCTCAGGATCTTATGCTTTATTGTCTTTTATTGCTTTAATGTGTGCTGTCTTTAACTATGTGTATTAACTATGAAAGGTGCTTTATAAATAAATGTATTACTAATATTTTTATTATTATTATTATTATTATAAAAAATATTCCAATTGTGGAGAAAGTACTCAGATGTTTTACTTCAGTAAATGTAGTAATACAGCACGGAAATACTCTGTTGCATATAAAAGTCATGCTTTCAAAGTTTTCATTTTAGCATTTTATGACTAATCAGAATCTGAGAAGTAACTAAACTTGGTAGAAGTATAAAGTAGGAGAAAATGGAAATACTCAAGTGAAGTACAAATACCTAAATTATCTACAAAACTAGAAAAAGAACTTCCCATTAGACAGAGACCAAGTCTTGTTAGATTCATACCACTATTTTTATTACAGTTTCCAATCAAATAAAGCCACTGAATCACTACTACACTGCTGATCAGTGACGATAAACATTAAAATAACCAATAATGACTCATATATAGCAGCTGACCTGATAGTGACGTCCGTCTCCAGACCTTTACTTCCAGCTTCCACCGCCTTCTCAAAAGACATCAGTGTGTTTTCTGGAGCGAGCTGCAAAACGGATTTACACACAGTGATGATCAATACACCGTCAGCGGAGGTGCAGCAACTTGTGCGTCAGTGCATGTAGATAAAATGCAAGTGGCTCATTGACTTAGTGTAAATATTTTAGCACAGTTTACAGAGCTAAAGCAGAAGCATTGTGGGTGGGGGCTCCAAACAGTTTAGACAGGAAGGATGTGAGCAGGGAGCCCGCATGTGTAGCTGAGAAAACATTACACAGATTACCAAATCAGCTCAGTTTGTGGTCTTGGAGTTAAAAATCTCACATAGAGCAGGAAATGTGGATCGAATGATTTCATTTTGCTGGTGTGAAAAGATGAAGCTTTTTCAGAATACTCTGACAGACACTAACTGTTGTAGTTAAAGCGGCGACCATTAGTCCATACATTTTTCTTTCTTATAATTTCATCCATAATAATCATTTCAGTTCTTTTACAAGCACAAAGGATCAGTGTATTCTCTGGTTTCAGATTCTCAGATGTGAGAATTTGCTGCTTTTCTTCAACAGTCTTCAGCTTTGAGACTGTTGGTGGGACACAACAAGCAAAGGGAAGACACCACTGTGATCTGAGGACTTACAGACTAAATGATCGACAGAATAATCATCGAAGGAAATAACTGTCGCAGCCCTAGTTGTTCACACAGCGTAGGAACTTTATTAGATCGTCGGCTCCTGCTCACCATGGGTGCTCCTCTGTGGCCGATGAGGGGGGGTGCGGGGCCCAGGGTCCGCTCCTCTTTGATACAAGGAGAATACAAACCGAGGGGCACCAAGTAGAGGGCAAACAGGATGGTCAGGTACACCCCCATGATCAGACCGCGCCTCGCTGAAACACAAACACATTAAAAACATTAACACATAAACAAGAGTAAGAGGTTTGACTCAGATTCAGTAGTAGATATTTTAAAATCAGGCTGAGAAACAGACTTTGATGTTTGATATAACGGAGGAATCCTACAGTTTTTATTCATTTAACACCGTTACAATACAAATTAAACAAACTGTGCATCTCACCTCTGCTGTTCATGCGAAAGAAATGCAAAGCTACCGGCCAAGCCAGCGCCGTCATCAGTAAGACTCCACCCACATGCAAATAAGGTGCTGTCACCTGGTCAGGACACAAGACAAAATCTGGCATCAGGAAGTGGAAACCAAACAGGGGGGAGTGAGGGTTGTTGTGAGGAGAGGAAGAAAAGTCACCTGGAAGGAAAGAAGTAACGTCTTCCACTCTTTACTCCACAGGTCGGACAAGACGGCGGTGGCTACGATGGAGAAAGTCAAACTCACCAGGATCCCAATCTGACAAAAAGAAAACTCCATCGTCATCCATCAGATCATGAACTCTGAAAAGACATCATGCTTTCACGCCTGTTGTAGAATAACAATCCAGACTGTTACACCTCTTTAATTCTTCAGGCTCTGAGCTTCAGCACACTCGATTTAAAATAAAATAATGGAAACTACATCAAAGTGCCAAGTCTCAGCTTTGATTTGAGCTGCTTTACATCGATAAAGACAGAAGTGTGTGAGAGACAGAGACCTTTTAACACACAGTGCCCAAACTGCAAGGTTCAAAAGTAACTAACAAGTTTCTTGCAGCTCAGAGCTGACTGAGTTGACATTTAGATTTGATGTGGAGCTGTCTGTCTCTGAGGAGTGAAGAGGAGACCATGCCAAAATAATGAGGCTAAAGAAATCTATCGGAGACATATCAAAGGTAGTGCGTCAAGTGGTGGGTACTTTCTAAAAAAGCAGGTGCACGGAGGAAAACTACCAAACGACCTGGTAGACGAAGGAGCACAAGTGTTGTGGATGGGCAGAAAATCATGTGCATGGTGAACAAAAAGCCCTTCATGACTGCACAACAAGTCAAGAATGCTCTCCAGGATGTAGGCGGACATGTTTCAACTATCAAGAGAAGACTTGATGACCAGAACCTCAGAGGATGTAAACCCCTGGTACCCCTCAGAAACAGAGAGCTCAGGCTGCACTTCTCAGAAACACACAAAAAAGAAACCAAACCAGAAGGAAGTTCTGCAGACCGATGAGACAAAGATCGAAAGCCACCACCTCATCTGTCAAACAATGGTGGCTCGGGCTTCTGTGGCTGCCAATGGAACTGGCTCTCTGCCATTTATCGATGATTATTTCACTGCTGATGAAGCAACAGGATTGACGCAGATGTGTACGGGAGCATCCTGCACTCAGATCCAAATACATGACACAACAAAAGCTGCTGGTTGAGCCTTTCTATCTGGCGCGGCTACAACGTTAGCACTTGAGCTAACCATGCTGGAATAATGTGTGAAGTCTCCCAAGTCTCTCTCTTCCCATTCTGCAGCATTAGTGCGGCTAGCATGAGCGTTTCACGTTAGCTAGAACTGTTTTGGAAATAATGAGGAATTTTACTGGTTTCCAGCATGTTCCTATATTTTTCTAAATACTGACAGTATTCATATATTATCATTACATCGTGGCAAATAGTGTTCTGCCCCCATGCTTGTTGCATGCAGGTTTGTAAACAGGAAGCCCATTTCTTTTTTGGTGCTTGGAATTTATTTATTTAGCATACTACCACTCAACAGGGACAGAGGATGCTGAAGAGCGACTGTAACCTTTATGTCGTTGAGCATGTAGGATGAGCGAGAGGACAGTCCATAAACAAGATGCTTGTAATCTCCTAAATTACAGCACTCAGTCAGGGGAAGGAGCCGTTACCTTGTGACTCCAGTGTAGATAGAGCTTCTGGCCCTCCGACACCAGACACACAGCCAGCAGCTGCACACAGCAACAAGAAACAGAAAGACCAGTTCAATCTGACGAGTGATGCTGTGATTAAGTGTAAAGAGTCGTGGTTTATCAGTTCACACCACAGACCCACTTTTACACAGCGTTACATACATATTACGTACATGGGAAAGTATGCTTATTCACATTTTAGGAGAAGCTTAAATTAGTAGAGTTACAGGGGAAGATTGATGCCACTTATTTCACATATTACAACCTAGTAGCATCTTAATTAACAGGTGCTAATTCTTTTGTTTCATCCATACAAACAGTGAAGTGTAAAAAAAAAAAAGACAATTCACTGGCAGCAGTCACTTTCTGGAGTAGACTGGTTGCCTGGCAACTGCTCAAAGCCAAAAATAAAACCCTGCAACATGGCAAACTGCCTTTTTTTTTTTTACACTTCAGTGTTTGTACACATTAAACCAACGTGATGTAACATGTTAATCATTAGTGAGTCTAGGAGGTGCTGGTAGGCAGATTTTACAACTTTGGACAAAGCCAGGCTAGCTGTGTCCTTCTGCTTCCAGTCTTTATGCTATGCTAAACTAAGCTAAGCTAAGCTAAGCTAATCACCTTCAAACCTGAGCGGTATCTCCTCTGCTAACTTTTTAAACTTTAGGGAATAAGTGCCAATAAGTTCCCAAAAGTCCAAAAATAACCACCAACTTTGATCAAATATTGCCTAAACACACAAAATGTCTGACAGCACAACCCTTCTATGGAGGACCACAAGTGGCACGGAAATAAATACAAAGCATTTGAGTGACTGATTGAAAAATAGAATTAGTATTTGATCAATTGACATTTAGCTTTGCAGAGACACCAGAACAGTGTTATTGTGTATGTAATTAAAACAGGCTGGGTGGCACTAACGAGCCTAGATCCAATTTTTCCTAAAACTCTTCCTTTTAATCAGGAAACCATGTTGCCGGTCAGTGTTGTGTTGGCGTCTCACCATGAGCACAGTGATGTAGGTGAAGAAGCCGGCGGCGATGACCAGCAGCACCACAGACCAGGGGAACCAGAAGCCCAGGTTCCCGAAGTTAAACCTGGTTCCACCCAGAGCGATGTCAGGTACATGGGTGAAGACAGAAAGACAGAGGCAACACTAAACCAAGAGGTCCAGTATGTCCATGTATGTATCTGGTTTAACAGCATCAATGTTTGAAAAGCTGTCATTTGTAAATAGTGAGTACCCCAATTTTAGGAATGTACAACGTTAAATCAGTGGATTTCTCTTAACAAATAATTAGATAAGAAGGACGATGTCCTAAAAACTGCCGGTCAGTATTCTCCAGACTACTGTTACATGATTAAACTGAATTTTGAGTGCAGGGGTTTTGTCCCCAAAGAGAAGCTTCAGCTGCTGCATCATGAGAAACTTTTTTTTAATACAGACTTTGCTCCAGAACACTAACACTAACATGTTTGCGATGGGTTGTGGGTTGGTCTCCACTGGTTTTAGTTCAGCTGACTCAAAGGCTCATTTGACATGGATGTCATTAAACAAAAGGAACCTTTGATCAGATTTCCTTTGGAGTAACCTGCACGTCCTCGTCACGGCTACAGCCAAGGTTGGATTACCAGATGTGTGAAGCCCTCCAGGTTTATTAAGTGACATCTGGTTTGTGTTCATTTAATTGTTTGGGGACAATGCTTCTGCGTTATTACCTGATCTTGAATCTTGTTTTCGGAACTTCATTTTGTAAGTTCTTCCTTACGTGTTGCACATTCCTAAACTGATGAGTTTGATTATATCACCAAACAGAAACTGTGGGGTCAAGGCAGAGACTGTACACGCTGCATGAAGAGTGGGAGTAATGGAGTGATAGAACAACCCATTGAGCTACAGGGATTGTTTATGTGTGCAGTGATTACATGATGCAATTTACTGTAGTAGGCCCAAACAATAAGTGTTTACTCCACCCACCAGTCAAAGTCATTGTAGTCGTTCTTTGCTTGTCCCCAGAAGTAGAGAAACACCAGAGTTAAGCAGAAAGCCGCCACGAGCAGAGCGAAGCTGGCACCTTCCAACTGTCGGCAACAGAAACAAAACAACAGACCTTTGTTGCACTGCCCTTTAATATTTTTTTTTTTGCTTTTTTTTTTTTTTTCCCATTTTCCGCCTTGTTTCCAAGGAGATGAAGACTGATCGTTGACCTCTATGGAGAAAGCAGCATTCAAACAGGAAAGCTCTTTACTGGCTTAACTGTGATTGCAAAACCGTGACGCAACCTGAGAACGACGGCTCTGGCCTCATTACTGAACTGATGCTGTTTACCGCGGCATCACTTCAGTAATGAAGACATATGACATTTTAAAGTGTAATTTAACTGAAGCCCCGTCTTATCTGAAAACCATTTCTACTTCATAAATTGACAGTTAAGCTGATGCCAAGATGCTGAACTACAATAACCGTGAAGAAGAAAATCAATAAAACAATGAGATATAATTGCCCCTCTCTTCCCTACAAGGAATCAATACATTTCACTGTTTTATTGATTTGTTCTGCCGTCTTCCAGCCTGCATTAATGATTCATGTTCTCCTACAAGGACTCATTAGTAAGTTGTTTGACTTCTGATTTAAATTATGAAAGACATCTTGTTAATTACAGAGCGTGTGTGAGACTTGTGCCGGATGAATCTGAATTCTGTGATTCTGAATGCAGCAGTTTGACTTGTCTTTAAAAGCCAAAAGAAAATGTAATTGGGTCACATTTAATTTTAAATTACCCAGTTTATGTTAAGTGGTTGTTACTGGATAAAAGCGCTGACCGGTGCTTTTTCAGCTTGTGGTCTCATAAAAACGAAACAATGCCAATTACTGACACTTGAGCAGCTGTGACCAATTCAACCACTGAATAATTTTTGTTTTTAATTAATTTTATTGGTAAAATTTTCCAGAAAATCCCCAGAAACAAAAGCAAACATTGGTAACTCTTCACTTTAAGTCCTTCTGTTTAGCATTTGTAAGTAACACTTGGTTTATTACAGTATAATATAACTGTACATAGCTCTAAGAATAGCTACATTAATGAAGTGTTTATTAATGCAATTACTGTGGGTTATAGTTACTTACATAGAAAACTGGGCAAACCAACAAATACTCAGATTTTAGAAATTGGAGCAAGAGGCATTTTTGCTTAAAAAAACAACATAAACAATTAATAAATGAAGTTAATTATCTCTCAATCAGCTACCTATTTAATCAGCTAATCATTTCAGCTCTTGAGTCCTGGTTGTTTTCTGTGTGTCTGAGGAAATAATGAAACTGACATGTATTGTTGGGCTGTGCTCCAGGACCGCCTACTAGGTTAATCCAGCCATAATATTAAGACACTGACTGGACCAGATGTGCCTGGTGCATCTCGTGTGTCGGATGTTGTCTGACCTTGTTGCAGCAGCAGTCTCCGGGCTGAGTGCGGCTCCTCTCGTAGCGTCTCCACCGGCAGCCGTACAGACCGGCCAGGCAGGTCACTAAAGGCTGGTGTTCATAACGCCTCAGCAGTTTAGCACGAAGACCACGCATCCGGCCGAACTGCAGCCGGGACAACGTGGACGCCATGGCTCACACACGCCCTGACGCACCCTCCATCCCGCTCACACACACCTGAAAACACAGAACCCAACTAAATATCACAGTCACAATTCTCTTATACAGACTTTACAGGGACATTATGATACACTGATACAGTATAGATAAGCTTCAGTACATTTGCTTGATACTGACACAGTTTTACATCACAGTTTTGTGCAGATTTATACACAAAATGATAAGATGGCATCTTTAAAAACATGGATTCCTCACACCAGCCTCAGTTGTCAAGTTTCAGCAGAACTGATTTTGTTTTGTTATACAGAAAGTTATCAGGAACATGTTCAGATTTGCACAGTTCTCATCAGTTTGTTTCGTCCTTCACCCTCAGTCTTCTTCAGATATGGCAGCTCTTGTGCAACTCAGGTGTGTTTCAGGAACATTATCTTTGTTGGGGAACAAAGGACAGCTCGGCTGGTTGTAATCCTCCCTGAAGGACAGATATCTGTGGGATTTAAAATTACACTTTGAATGCAATTCACTCACAATTTTCTGCTGTGTGCACACATATACTGACATAAAGCGTTTGAAGAGAGGTCTATATATAAATATATATACATATATATATAATCACAAAGGAAAACCCTGGTTTCTAGCAGGATGTGAACTTAAGCAAGTCTGTGGTTTTTTGCAGTTTATAGATGGTCGATTGTTTTTATCAGAATTTGTATTGTCATATGGCGGGACCTGTTGTACTCAAACTAAACAAACTCAGACAAATAACCAGTTGAATTCAGAATAAAATAATAACTGTATAAGACAGAAACATGAAAAGGACTGTCAATTGAAATAATGTATTAACATGACTGAAAACAGTCTAACAGCAGATTGGGACCAAAGATGAATAAACTGCCATTATGCTGGTAAATTCTGCACTGACATGATCCGTCAATCGTTTCGTCTAATTGTAAAATTAATTTCCAGATGTGGTGTGCAACTTAATTCGTGTCTTTATGTGTGAGCCGAATTTAAGACTGGTGGCTAATAAATCGTAAAATCAGTAAGTCATTTATAATCAGTTTTCCGCCTTGGCAAGAAAACACGAAATTTCTCAAAAGGACGAATTTTTACAAAGCAGTTTGGTGATACTCCACGCACAGAGGAAAGAACGGGACCTATTGAGACCTTAGAGCTAAAGCGTGAACCTGATCATCACTGAAAACACATCGATGCCCGAAGCAGTTTCCGCGTCTCCGCATATTATCCTAATATCAACACGTTGTTGTCCTACCTCCAGGCCGGTTCTACCTCCCGGGGAACGGCAGAGAAGCAGCCGCAGTGCGCAGATCTCCCTCGGTTACCGTTCAGTACAAGTGGCCTCGGTTGATGAGGTTGTGTGAAGCCAAAAACATTTACATACACACGCAGAGGAAATGAAACGGTTTGCCTTAACAACAAAAAAAAAAAAAACACGCAGCTCTGACGTTTTCACACTGGCGCAGAAATATAACACATTTGGATAAAATAAACAGATATATGTCATTAAAGTACATTATGCAGTGATTTTAGCTTTATTTCAACCTCTTTATTTTTTTTTACTTTATATTGAAAATGATAATAAACAGAGGGCATATTATCGTCAATCGTTAAAGTGTATGCAAATGAATACATCATTTCATTTGGAAAGATATATTCAAACTAGCTTCAGCATTTTGAATAAGAAAAAAAAATTTGAATATAATTTTTTTAAAAACACTTTATTTTGAAAATCATAACGGAAATCAGTATGTTGTAAATAATTTTCTGCTTTACACTTGTTCCTGTTGATGCCCTACGGTACACCTCTGTCACTGACTGCCACCTGTTGCCACAGTGATGCAAACACATGGTTTCACCAGGTGAGTACAGGTGAAAAGGGAGTTTTTAAATTTTACTATGATTATGATTATGATTATGATTATGATTATGATTATGATTATGATTATTATTATTATCATCTTCAATCCTTAAGTAAATTCGTTTTGCGGTGCGGTCACTAAACACATTCTCATAAATAAAACAACAGCAGATCAAACCAAACACAGAAACACTACTACCATTTCTGTATATTAAAAAAGTCATCCTTTATGGTGATAAGGACCTGTTCTTTGTACGTGTATAACTGAATTATCTGTAAGATAATTCCTCTTTGTGTTGATACATTGATGTAAACCTTTTCAAATTAAAGCTGAGACTTGGCACTAGAGTTTAATTACTAGGAGCACAGTCTCGTTGATAAAGTATTGTAAATACTGGTGGTGACCTCAAAGTTTCACCATGAGTTTCAACATGTTTAAATATGAGTTCCAACTTGTTTCGATATGAGATTAAAGTTTCAATATGAGCTTCAATATGAGGAAGAGGAAATTGATAGACAAGGTTTCATAATACATCTGGAATATTTCATTTTGACGTAATGGTGTGTAGGTTATACACACAGACAAGGGCGTAGGTTTGGATATGGATATAGGGACATGTCCTTACCAATAGTTAAGGAGGACAAAATTGTTCTAACAATATTTGAGTGAACTTGTTCGCACTATGTTTAGAGTGAAGTCATATTACACAGTGGTACCCAATGTCACCAGAAAAATGTCAACTGATGTTATTTAACCATGTTAGCCAGTGTTGACTAGCAAGCTAACCCAGTCTTCTGTCTTCTGTACAATATCAGTCAGGTTGGGTATCAAAGTATGAGTTTAATTTCTGTTGAAATATCCCAAGAAAATGTGACCATGAATACTATGACTTTTACATGCCTTAATATACTATGATATTTTTATGGCTTCCTATAACTATGACGTCTTTTGTGACTTACTGTACTATGATGTTTTTATGTCTTGCTATATTATGACATTTTTGTGCCTTACCTTACATTGATGTTTTTATTCCTTACTATACTATGATTAATTTATTCTGTGCTGCAGTGGTTACAACTGCCTGTGTAAAGTTTGCATGTTCTCCCTGTACTCTGGCTTGCTCCTGCATTCCAAGCAATGCACATTAGGTTTATTGGCGACTCTAAAACCTAACTATACAATGACACTTGTATGACATTTTATGCCTTACTATGATGTTATTAGGCATTACTATAATGCTTTTATGACCTTTTATGCCTTCCTACACTATGACATTTTTATGACTTTCTGTGCCTTCATATATTATGACTTTTTTTTATGACTTTTTAGGCCTTACTATATTATGAAGTTTTTTTTTACTTTTTAGGCCTTACTATACTATGACGTTTTTTATGACTTTTTAGGCCTTACTATACTATGATGTTTTTATGACTTTTTATGCCTTACTATACTATGACTTTTTATACCTTACTATACTATGACTTTTTATGACTTTTTATGCCTTACTATACTATGACTTTTTATACCTTACTATACTATGACTTTTTATGACTTTTTATGCCTTACTATACTATGACTTTTTATACCTTACTATACTATGACTTTTTATGACTTTTTATGCCTTACTATACTATGACTTTTTATACCTTACTATACTATGACTTTTTATGACTTTTTATGCCTTACTATACTATGACTTTTTATACCTTACTATACTATGACTTTTTATGACTTTTTATGCCTTACTATACTATGACTTTTTATACCTTACTATACTATGACTTTTTATGACTTTTTATGCCTTACTATACTATGACTTTTTATACCTTACTATACTATGACTTTTTATGACTTTTTATGCCTTACTATACTATGACTTTTTATACCTTACTATACTATGACTTTTTATGACTTTTTATGCCTTACTATACTATGACTTTTTATACCTTACTATACTATGACTTTTTATGACTTTTTATGCCTTACTATACTATGACTTTTTATACCTTACTATACTATGACTTTTTATGACTTTTTATGCCTTACTATACTATGACTTTTTATACCTTACTATACTATGACTTTTTATGACTTTTTATGCCTTACTATACTATGACTTTTTATACCTTACTATACTATGACTTTTTATGACTTTTTATGCCTTACTATACTATGACTTTTTATACCTTACTATACTATGACTTTTTATGACTTTTTATGCCTTACTATACTATGACTTTTTATACCTTACTATACTATGACTTTTTATGACTTTTTATGCCTTACTATACTATGACTTTTTATACCTTACTATACTATGACTTTTTATGACTTTTTATGCCTTACTATACTATGACTTTTTATACCTTACTATACTATGACTTTTTATGACTTTTTATGCCTTACTATACTATGACTTTTTATACCTTACTATACTATGACTTTTTATGACTTTTTATGCCTTACTATACTATGACTTTTTATACCTTACTATACTATGACTTTTTATGACTTTTTATGCCTTACTATACTATGACTTTTTATACCTTACTATACTATGACTTTTTATGACTTTTTATGCCTTACTATACTATGACTTTTTATACCTTACTATACTATGACTTTTTATGACTTTTTATGCCTTACTATACTATGACTTTTTATACCTTACTATACTATGACTTTTTATGACTTTTTATGCCTTACTATACTATGACTTTTTATACCTTACTATACTATGACTTTTTATGACTTTTTATGCCTTACTATACTATGACTTTTTATACCTTACTATACTATGACTTTTTATGACTTTTTATGCCTTACTATACTATGACTTTTTATACCTTACTATACTATGACTTTTTATGACTTTTTATGCCTTACTATACTATGACTTTTTATACCTTACTATACTATGACTTTTTATGACTTTTTATGCCTTACTATACTATGACATTTTTATGACTTTTTATGCATTAGTATACTATGACGTTTTTATGACTTTGTAGGCCTTACTATACTATGACGTTTTTTATGACTTTTTAGGCCTTACTATACTATGATGTTTTTATGACTTTTATACTATGACGTTTTTATGCCTTTTTGCGCCTTACTATACTATGACGTTTTTTATGACTTTTTAGGCCTTACAATACTATGAAGTTTTTATAACATTTTATGCCTTACTGTACTATGATGTTTTTATGACTTTTTGCGCCTTACTATACTATGACTTTTTATACCTTACTATACTATGACTTTTTATACCTTACTATACTATGACTTTTTATACCTTACTATACTATGACTTTTTATACCTTACTATACTATGACTTTTTATACCTTACTATACTATGACTTTTTATACCTTACTATACTATGACTTTTTATACCTTACTATACTATGACTTTTTATACCTTACTATACTATGACGTTTTTATGACTTTTTAGGCCTTACTATACTATCACATTTTTATGACTTTTTAGGCCTTACTATATTATGAAGTTTTTTTTTACTTTTTAGGCCTTACTATACTATGAAGTTTTTTTTTACTTTTTAGGCCTTACTATTCTATGACGTTTTTATGACTTTTTGCGCCTTACTATACTTTGACGTTTTTATGACTTTTTATGCCTTAGTATACTATGATGTTTTTATGACTTTTTGCGCCTTACAATACTATGACATTTTTATGACTTTTTATGCCTTACTATACTATGACTTTTTATACCTTACTATACTATGACTTTTTATGACTTTTTATGCCTTACTATACTATGATGTTTTTATAATTTTTTGTCCCTTACTATACTATGACATTTTTATGACTTTTTATGCCTTACTATACTATGAGTTTTTGTCCCTTACAATACTATGAAATTTTTATGACTTTTTATGCCTTACTATACTATGACGTTTTTATGACTTTTTGCGCCTTACTATACTATGATGTTTTTATGACTTTGTGTGCCTTACTATACTATGACATTTTTATAACATTTTATGCCTTACTGTACTATGATGTTTTTATGACTTTTTATGCCTCACTATACTATGACGTTTTAAAGACTTTTTATGCCATACAATACTATGACGTTTTTATAACATTTTATTCCATACAATACTATGACGTTTTTTATGACTTTTTATTCCTTACAATACTATGACGTTTTTTATGACTTTTTAGGCCTTACTATACTATGATGTTTTTATGACTTTTTGGGCCTTACTATACTATGATGTTTTTATGACTTTTTAGGTCTTACTATACTATGCTGTTTTTATGACTTTGTGTGCCTTACTATACTATGACGTTTTTAAGACTTTTTGTGCCTTACTTTATTATGACGTTTTCATGACACTTCATGCCTTACTCTGCTATGCTGTTTCTAGGACTTTTTGTACCTAACTATACAATGACATTTTCATCACTTATTATGTCTTACTATACTAAGTTGTTTTAATGCCTTACTATACTACG